CCAGCCTCCAAAGCCACAGAGAAACTCCGTTCGAAAAAAAAAAAAAAAAAAAAGAAAATACATGCCAATTTCTTAGAAAAGGTAGTAAATGGTAAAATGGTTTCATAACCTTTTGTAAGACAATGATGTAAAAATGAAAATTCTAGTTTGAGTTTGTCCATAAGATGAAATAAGTCTTAGTGGAGTTTAGAAAAGGCTGGGCGTTGGTGGCACACGCCTTTAATCCCAGCACTTGGGAGGCAGAGGCAGGCGGATCTCTGTGAGTTCAAGACCAGCCTGGTCTACAAAGTGAGTTCCAGAACAGGTTCCAAAGCTACAGAGAAACCCCTTCTTGAACCAAAAAGGGAAAGGGGTGGAAAACAAACCCGTCCACAACACAGCAGAACATACCAGAATGATCTACCTGGTAGGCTAAGGAGCAGGTGTGGAATTCATACTGGCTAAAGAAGATGCAGGTGGGAACTGCCTTTCTTTTCTACTCTGCAGTATGTGAAGCTGGAAGTGAAGGGTGGTTCGTTGCATACATGAAGCTGTGGCCTCTGGCTCTCGCTCAGTTAGAGCAGGATGGTGTGTACTGGGTGAAAAGCATCACTGGGAAGCTACCGGGCTTAACTTGGAGAAAAGGGGCCAATCCTGAGTTTCTAACAGTTAATCAAGCAGCTGACAGAAGCTGGTGTTTTTCTCTCTGCAGACTAGACAAAACTAAGGCTTAGAGACTGGAGGGTGTGGCTCAGTAGCAGAGCATGCAGGAGGCCACAGCGTCCATCTGCAGCAAGAAAGGAGAAACTGCCATCCACACCACACCACACCACACCAAGCTGCTAATTTCTTTACACTGTTGTAAGCGCAGTGGTGAGCACCACAATTCCAGCACTGGCGGCTGAGGTGGGAGGAAAGCTCTAAGACCAACCTGAGTGGAATACTAGGTCAAAAAGCCCATGTCCACATCTTCCAAAACTTCATGCACCCACCCCTCAAGAGTAAAGCAGTTTTTAACTGTGCATCAAAGGGGTCGCTAAATGAACAGTGTGAACATTTCTTATTAAATCTATAACGTTTAACTATAGTACCATCAATGGCAAGAAACACAACAGACCAGTGCTTCTCAACCTTCCTAATGTTGTGACCCTCATATGCTCTGGTGACCCCCAACTATGAAATTACTTTCACTGCTACTTTATGACTATAATTTTGCTACTGTTATGAATCGTAATGTAGTATCAGTGTTTTCCATGGTCTTAGGTGGCCCCTGTGAAAGGACTCTTTGATCCCCAATGGGGGTCTGGACCCACAGGTTAAGAACCACTGCCACAGAGGGTCATGGGAGCACTTCTCCTTCTAATAGGGCACGTGCTTACAAGTGGTCTCCACTGTGCTAACTTCCAAAGGGTTGCAGCCTAGTGGAAAGACAGGTGGAAGCGGAATTACACCTCAATTTAGCTAACAGGACTGTCATTTGGATGACTCAGTTTGTACAGCTATACTACTTGTGTATTTGATGTTAGCGTCTGAGAAACTGGGGTGAAGTATACATAAAAACTCTGTTATTTTTGTAACATTTTGTGACGTCTAAAATTATTTAATACATATATTTAAAATGTATTAACAGCAAGTATTAAAAAACTGAAGTCAACAAAAGAATACCCAATCTGAATGGTACTTGTGTGAAAAAATTCTGTTATGTGTAGCCGTATATAGGTCAAAGAACTAGTGGGGATGTTTAAGAAAATAGAGCAATTATTTTTCATTTATTAGTTATAATACAACTATTTAAATCAACACTTAGCAGTCTCTTTAAAGATCCTTGGAAATGAGAGAAACACGAAAGAGTATTTCTGGAGAGAATATTGAGACAGCCTTGTAATTACATATCATGTTAGTAGTGATCAGCTTAGTTAATAGCTAGACTTGGTAAGAACAATCACACACACACACACACACACACACACACACACACACACACCCTTACCTGAGGTACACCAATTTTTCTGCAAGCATCCAGGAAGTTCTCCACATTTCGCCTGCATTTTGCCATTGTTAATTTAGGCTGCAGTGAGACAAGAAAGTAGGGAAAACCGTGTTACCAACAAAGATTTAAACCACTCTTGCTGGTTGTCACATACTGCTATGCACACTGGGGCTCAGCAAACTTTTCCTTAGGAGATCAGACAGGGAATGCTAATTTCCAGAGCCACAGAACTGTTGCCACTACCCAAGTCTGCTAGGGGCATGAAAGCAGCCACAGGGATGACTAGACTAGTGTGGCTGCATTCGATAAATACTATTTACAGAAATAGGTGCTGGTCTCTGAAGGGAGTCTGCCACCTTCCAATAGGTGCATTTTGCTTTGGTTTAGTAAGGAAAGTGCTAAGACGGTATTTTTCCATCTTGACACAAAATAAACAAAAGAAAATTAGAGAGAACATTAAGAAAAGGTATCACCTAGCAGTTCACTGTTCAAGCATGGCCACAATTGACAGTTCATTTCTTTTGGTTTATTACTTTTTTGAGGCAGTGTATCACTATACAGCTCTGGCTGGCTTAGTACCCACTCTGTTGACCAGGCTGGCCTCAAACTCACAGAGATCCACCTGTCTCAGTTTTCCAAGGGCTGGGATTTAAGGCATGCGCCACCACCGCCCACTATTTGAAAACATTAATTTTATAGGTATGACTGTCTTGTCTGCATGTACATCCATCCATCCATACATCATGTGCATGCAGTGCCTGCAGAATCCAGAAGACGTGTTGGGTCCTTGGGAAATGGAGTAATGGATACGCTGGAGCCTCATGTGGGTGCTGGGAATTGATCCTGGTCCTTGGCAAGAACAGCCAGTCGTCTTAACCCCAGCCCTATCTTTTACATTTAACTCATTATGTCTTAATGATGGTTACAAAACTACTTTAAAGGTGAATGGTTAACACAGGAAATTTCCTTAATTACTAACCAGTGAGCTTACTTTTCTGTAAAGACCTCTAAAGATTAAAAGTAAAGAGGCATCCCATATCCTCTCAAAGTTTTGTTTCTGACCTAGTTAGTTATCATGGAACACAATGTAAGAAAAATAGGAATTTATATTCTAAAATGATGTTCAAGTATTGGGTATGAAAGTCAGATGTTTGTAGGGTCTATGACCTACAGTTTTGTTGTTTGTTTGTTTGTTTTGTTTTTTGAGACAGGGTTTCTCTGTGTAGCTTTGTATACCAGGCTGGCCTTGAACTCACAGAGATCTGCCTGCTTTTGCCTCTCGAGTGCTGGGATTAAAGGCATGTGCCACCAACCACTTGGTAGACCGACAGGTTTTTAAATTATTAAATGCATGGACACTTGTACCATCTCTAGAAAACAAAAGACTTTACTTGTAAACACGAAACATAATTCTTTGGCATAAGAAGAAACAAAACAAAAGCAGTGAAAGAAAGCATTGTGATCTTGAGCAGACAAAGGTATCCGGGGCTAGGATTAGCTTTGTCATGAAAGATAAAAAGGCAGCCAGTGAGATGGACGGAAAGAAACAATTATCTCCCAGTTCTAATGGAGTAACTTTCAAAGGATCAGGAAAGATGACAGGAAGCCAGTGTCCAGGGAGGGATCTGCCCTGGTTAGCTTTCTACTGCTGTCATGACCATGTATGTCTGGGGGAGGAAAGGGTCTAGTCCATTTTACACTTTATACACCATCATTGGGGGAAACCAAGCAGGAACTCAAGGGGGATGGGAACCTGGATTCAGGGCTACAGCAGAGACCATTAGAAGAATTATGTTTGCATTGGCTTGTTCTCTATCCAAGGCTTGCTCACTTTGCTTTCTTATATAACCCAGGACCACCTGCCCAGAAGTAGCACTGTCCCTAGCAGGCTGGGCCCTTACATGGATCATTAATCAAGAAAACGGAACACAGACTTGCCTACAGGCCAGTCTGGTAGAGGTGTTTTCTCAGTTGAGGTTGCTCTTCCCAGATGACACTGGCTTGTGTCAAGTTGACAGAAAGTTTTAACCAGTACAGCTCCCTTTCTTGCCAGTGACAAATTTTTAACTCAAGTGAAAAGGTGTGTGTGTGTGTGTGTGGGAGATGGAACATAAACTGTAGGATCAGGATCTCCTGGCAGATGAGAACAGAACCAAGGTCTGGGCTTCTCTACCTGCTACTTCACACGGGCGCTGACCAATGCTGCTGCTGCCTGTGCCAGGAAAAGTAAGGGAGATATATGGTATGTTCAGCTCCAGAGGAAGGTGAGGTGAACTGAGAAGCAAGGGGGAAGCTGCTAGGAGGCACAGCTCCTGGGCAAAGGACCTAATCTTCACAGCAATTCTGCAAATAAAGAGCATGCATGGCCAGTTCGGTTGGAGATGCCTGGAACTCTGGAATGTGGATGGTACAGGTAGGGAGTTCAAAGCCAGCCTTGGCTAAATGAGACAAAATAGCTGGGTAGGATGACACACTTTTTTAGTTTGTTTGTTTGTTTGTTTTATTTTTTGAGACAGGGTTTCTCTGTAGCTTTGGAGGCTGTCCTGGAACTCGCTCTGGAGACCAGGGTGGCCTCAAACTCATAGAGATCTGCTTGCCTCTGCCTTCCTGAGTGCTGGGATTAAAGGTGTGCGCCACCAACGCCTGGTGGTGACACACTTTAATCCTAGCACTCAAGAGGTGGAAGCAGGTGGACTTCTCTGTGTTTGTAGCCAGATTGGTCTATATATAGTTTTATGTATATGTAGTCTGCCAGGACTACACAGTGAGACCATGTCTCAGAAAACCAAAACTCCCAAATCCAACAGGACCAACTACTTCACATCAGCGTTATCTGTCTAGGCTAGAAATTCTCTCTACATGACAGCTTCTCTCTGCCTCACAGGGCAGGGAGCAAAGGCAAGAACCATTAGCACTTCTTCCTGTGAAGTGGTCAAGACCCTAGTCTGAGTTCAGGAGAGAAGATAAGCAGGAGAAGCAGCCAATAGCATTTGTTTTACAAAAGAGGGAAACCCATGTTTCTGAAATATTAATGTTTATGGAATAGACCTACATAACCTTGCTATAGGAAGAAAAAAAATCATGTTTTTGTGCAAAAGCAAGGGTAAAAAGGATAAGGTTAATGCTACTAGTTAAAAACTGGTTCAAATGCAATTTCCTATAGCTCATATGACATGAAGACTACTAGTAGCATCTTAAAGCATACAAGTGTGGGGCAGAATGGAAGAACACCTGCTGCCCAAGAAGTTCACAAACCCCACCCTCCTCTGCAAACTTCAATGGGAAGGCTCATCCATCAGTGGGATTCGGGCAGCAGCCTCTCCATCACTCGCTCTAGACTGCAGTAATCACAGCTTCATCTTAAGCAGCAAACCTTACAGGAACCCACTATTTCTAAAGGTTTCCCCAGAACTGCAAATGGCATGGCATGACTTTTGGCAGCAAAGTCTAGCCTCTTTTATTTCTATAATGTAGAGCCTACACTGAATATGAGATCTGAACTGAAAAGAACAAGAGATGAAAAATTAGTTCTGGATATTTAAAATGATTCAAACACTGTTTCATGCATTAAAAACTTTATTTTTAAGATAGGGTCTCATGTAGTACAGGCTGGCTTTAAGCTTGCTGTGTAGACCACGATGGTCTTCCTGCCTCAAACTCCTAAGTGCTCAGATTACAGGCATGATCCACCATGTCCAGCCTGAAACTTTTAGTGGAATATTTACTATTACTGTATATACACAGTGTGTGGGGCATGTGTGTCATATGGAGGCCAGAGAACAACTCTGCAGAATTGGTCATTCCTTCTCCCTTAATGTGCATTCCAGGATCCAACTCTAGTAGTCAGTCTCATGTGGCAAACTCTACCTGTTGAACCATGTCACCAGCCCAAAACTTAATATTTGTTTTTGAGACGGGTCTCACTATGCAGCCCTGGCTGGTCTGAACTGACCAGACTGGCCTTGAAATCATAGTGCTCTACCTGCTTCTACCTTCCAAGGGCTAGGATTAAAAGTGTGCATTACCACACTTGGCTCAAAAACTGTATTTTTAAAATTTGTTTTCATTAAAAATTTCATTTAAAGTATGGGGCTGGAATGATTGGGTTCACAGTACCCATATGACAGCTTACAGACACTGTTAACTTTAGTTCCAGGGAATCCAATGCCCTTTTTTGGCTTCCATGAACTCCTGTACACATGTGATACACAAAACTATTTTTTTTCTTTTTAGATTTTATTTATTTATTATATATACAACATTCTGCTTCCATGTATATCTGCACACCAGAAGAGGGCACCAGATCTCATAATGGATGGTTGTGAGCCACCATGTGGTTGCTGGGAATTGAACTCAGGACCTCTGGAAGAGCAGTCGGTGCTCTTAACCTGTAAGCCATCTCTCCAGCTCCACACACAAACTATTTTAAGCATATGCGTACATGTGCACAAACACAGATGCATCCACAAATTTTAAAAACATTTTATTTTCCAAGATAGGGTTTCTCTATGTAGCCCTGGCTGTCCTGGAACTCACTTTGTAGACCAGACTGATCTTGAAAGCATGAAGATCTGCCTGCCTCTGCCTCCCAAGTGCTAGGAATTAAAGTGTGCATCACCTCCACCTGGCTAAAAAATTTTTCTTAAAATATAAGGAACTCCTTTAAATTATACCTAAAGCATTAATAAGCATATATAGCAAAGCAATCTCATTTTAAGAAAGCTATGTTAAGGACTGGAGAGGTGTCTCAGAAGATAAAGTGAATATTGCTTTTCCAGAGGTCCAGAGTTCGATTCCCAACAACCACATGGCAGCTCACAACCACCTGAAGTCCAGCTCCATGGGATCTGACACCCCCATCTAGACTCTGCTGGAAGAGCAGTCATATGTATAGACCCATATTCAGATATACACATATATGTAATTAAAAAAATAAAAAATAATCCTAGAAAAAGGAGGATGACTAAAAATGTAAAAGCTAATGTCCATAGGCCCTGATCCAACTTCTAAGAGGAAGTATATTCCTCAGGTTTTAGCAAGTCTGCATACCTGTTTTGAGCAAATAGCTTAATTCCTCCACTTAGAACCAAAGGAGAAAAATTAGGTAGTTCAAAACTGGATATTCCTGGGTAGACCCCGATTCCCCTCTTTAGACAGTGATATATTTTTTTCCTGTGGTCCTTGGTTCCCAACCCTTACTTCTGTTATCACTGCCTTTATTTTAAACTTTTTTTTAGATTATTTTATTTTATGTGTTTGGATGTTTTGTCCACAGAAGTCAGAAGAAGGCATTAGGTCCCTGTAACTGAAGTTAATGGATGGTTGTGAGCCACCATGTGGGTGCTGTCAATCCAACCCAGGTCCCCTGCAAGAGCACAGTGCTCTTCACCTTTTGAGTCATGCTCCAGGCCCTATACCACTGTTTACCAAAGGTGAATCTAAACTTTCCTCAAGCAGCATGATATTGGGATAAAACCTGATGTTTAAAATGTCTGGTTCTTAAGTGATAAGACTTTCAAGGAGAATGCTTCTTAGTGATATATTTCCTGATTCCACAAGAGGTAAGACAGTAAATGAACTCAAAGTCTGGCAGGATTCTGCCGACAGAGCGGCCAGTCTGTAGACACAAGTCATAAGCCTGGCTCCAGCCTGGAGCCAAGGGTAAGGTCAAAAAATTGTTAACCAGAAATGGACAGGAAAGTTCAAAGAGCTCTTTACGCTTGATTGATTTCTACTGCATCAGACTACAATCCAGGCTGTGAGGCTTGGTGCCAAGAATCTTTATTTGCTGAGCCATCTTGCCAGCCCTTCCTAATGATGATCTAACAGTGTGCATCATACTACTATGCCTGTTGAACACTCAACAAGCATTTCTAATATCTCCCCCTATTTACACTACTACAAACCTCTAACTTGGAGACATGTTTTACAGCCTCTAAAACACAGCCTAGGCTAACTGGCAGCTTCACCCACTGCCACCTATACCCACACATTCACCCTGTGCGTGATCTATTCTCAGCAACTGAACAATTCCTTCATTTAAGTTGCTAGCTGGCCAATTCCTCCCCCCCCCTTTTTTTTTCGAGACAGGGTTTCTCTGTGGCTCTGGAGGCTCTCCTGGAACTAGCTCTTGTAGACCAGGCTGGTCTCGAACTCACAGAGACCCACCTCTGCCTCCTGAGTGCTGGGATTAAAGGCCTGTGCCACCAACGCCTGGCCAATTCCTTCCTATACTTCATAACTGAATTAGTTCAATTTCTTCTCTAGAAGTTTTCTCTGAATTTTCTAGGCAGAGTTAACCAGTTTTCTTTTGGTATCCCCACAGCACACTTCTTACACACCTCTTACAATAGTCAATGCACGCTGTAAGTGAGAGCAGGAAGGTGGAGACTGGGCCCTTTGTTTCTGCACTGCTAGTTTCTAGCACAATGACTCCACTGAACTAAAAAGCAGTCATGAATAGTCAATGTTGTCTGGCACTACAACTTACCACGGCTGGAGATGGGACATGAATGCTTGGGACAGATCGAGGCCGAACATGATTGGCCAAGTGGCAAAGTACAACACCATCAGTTAGAGCTGCTCCAAGATCACAGGGCAGAGATACTTTTAACCGGTACTCAATATGCTGCAAGGACAGGAAATGTCATGCATTAATTGAAGAGTGATTATTATACAGGATATAAAAGCAAGTCAATGGAATATATCTAGTTAGACATCCAGAAAAAAAAAAAAAACAAAAAACTGGATATGGTGACATATGCCTGTAACTCCAGCATTTAGGATGCTTGGTGAGCAGAAGGACTACAGCAAGTTTGATGCCCACCTGGGTGACACCGTGACTTCCAGGCTGGCCAGGGCCATAAAATAAGACCTTGTCTCAAAACAAAAACAACAAAGCCAAAACAAAACAGACTCCAGAAAAAAAGGAAATAACTTGGACACTCCAGTCCCCATTTCCTCTAACTCAGCTCAGTAACTTAAAGAGATAGAGTGTATGCATTGTAGCCAGGTCAAAGTGATATAAAGCACAAAAGAAATAACTATCATTTTATGACTTGGGAAACCACTAACTCTGGGCATGGTGGTGTATGCCTGTGATTCCAGACCAGAGAGGCACAGGGAGGAAGACTGAGAGATCAAGGCCAGCCTGAGTGACACAGTGAGAACTTGTCTCAAAAAACAAAAACGAAACCAAACTGGATTCTTGTTCAATTCTAATTCCTCAATATATATGGTTTGAGAATGTGCCTATGCACACAAACCCTCTCTCTTTTAAGGAAGGGTCTCACTATGTAGCATAGTCTGGTCTTGAACTGGTGATCCTGTTACTTCAGAGTACCAAGTGGTTACATGTGTGGACCACCATGCCACATCTGGCACTTACACACTGTAACTACTCCTTTTAACATGGTGCAAAACAGAAAACAGAAAAAACGAAAATGAACATGGCTATGATGTGAGCTTTTAAAATTATTCATCTAATTTTCTCAATAAAAAGTTTAAAGGAATTTTTCCTCAATAGTAAAATTTCTTACATCATCATAAAATACAGCAAACAATGGACTGACTTTATGGTAGTGGTAGAAGGGAGCATGTAAACAAAAGGCTATGAAATATAGAAATGGCACTGCCAAAGATAATGTACACACTTTGCGTAGTTGATCTATTAATTTCAGCTCCTCTTCTCTCTGTCTTGTTACAGGATCTGCAGGTCCAGTTGCAGGTGCAGAAGACAGCAGGGGTGAGGCACAAGCTGGAAAACACGTGAGATGATGGGAAGGTCAGCTACCAGTGCTGGGAAAATACATTTGTCTGGCAAGTATCCTTGCCACTGCAGTGCTTTCTACTTTCTAGATAACGTTTTAAAAGCATTGTCATCTGGCGCTGGGAGACGGCTCAGTGGCTAAGAGAACTTGCCTATCTTGTCAATAGAGGACCCAAGTTTCACTTCCCAGCACCCACATGGTGGCTCATACTTCTAACTCCAGTTCCAGGGGATTCAGCCAGGTGTTGGTGGTGCACGCCTTTAAACCCAGCACTCGGGAGGCAGAGGCAGTCGGATCTCTGTGAGTTCGAGGCCAGCCTGGTCTCCAGAGCAAGTGCCAGGATAGGCTCAAAAAAAATAAAATAAATAAAATAAAATAAGAAATTTCACGCCTTTAATCCTAGCACTCGGGAGGCAGAGGCAGGTGGATCTCTGTGAGTTCAAGACCAGCCTGGTCTACAAGAGCTAGTTCCAGGACAGCCTCCAAAGCCACAGAGAAACCCTGTCTCGAAAAAAAAAAAAAAATTTCAAATATACAATTATAATGGCAGTTTGAATTACATCTATTTACAAATGTTTTTATTGAAAAAATACAACATATATGTAAAATTACCCAGTTCTAAATAGATGCCAATAAATTATCCTCACAAAATGAAATGGCTAAATGCTACAAGTGAGATTTACCAGTACCTCAAAGCCGCTTGTATGTTCTCTGCCCATTAGAGCACCGAGTATCAGTATCCTCACTTTAAGCGCCAAAGATTTATTTTGTTCATTTTTGAGAATTGTCTATAGATTAAACCATACTGTATGTATTCTTTATGGCTTGTTTTCATCAACACTAAAGATATTTATCAGAACTGTACATTCTAGATATATCAGTACTGTTGTAAGTATCATTTTCATTACTTTTATGACATTTCATTATAAAGATACATCAATGTTCACCCCCTTTCTACTTGTGAACATTCAATTTAGAGCCATTATAAATAATGTTGCTATGAATGTTTTTATATCTATCTTTTGTTCTACACAAGTGCATATTTCTCAAAGTAAAACTGCTGCTAATAGGGACATAAAAGTTCAATAGTTTGTCAATACAGAAAGATCTGAGAAAGAGTTCATAGTAAGGGAAGAATGTTCTTTAATTTATTTGTTCAATCTGTTTTTGGTTTTGGCTTTTGAGACAGGATCTTGTGATATAGCCTGGGCTAGCCTTAAAATCAATTCTGCCTCAGCCTTCTAAATGCAGGGATTCTAGGTATGTACCCATGATGCACAGTTGAAACATTATAAAATATATTTTAAATGGTACTAAGAAAGTTTCAAATCCAAACAAAAAACCCTAGATGCTCCTGATTTAATGACAGTGAGGTTACATACACCTGCAGAGCTAACTTTTGCCAGATGCAGTTAGGTGTGCAGCTGAAAGCATGTAAGTGGTCAGGTCACTGTGTAAGGCCCCCCTCTCTGCCATGCCTGTAAAACCGCCACCACTCACCTTTAGTAGTCTCTGCCCTAACAGCAGCTCGGAAAAGGAAGCTGTCAGGGCGCTGGGGCTCATTTCTCTGGGTGGCAGCAGGAAAAGAATATGCAGGGGAATGATGGACTATATCAGCATGGAAAAGCAAGATGATGTTAAAGGAAATGGGAAGCAAATCAAAGACCACGTAGACAAATGTCACAAAAATCTGATAAACAGCACAAAAGGAAAAACAAATCAAACAATGATATAAAATGATGATTCTATTCATTAATGAAAAACTCTCATGTATAAAAGAAAAGCTGCTTATTTATTTTAAAAGTTGTTATTTTTAGTATATCAACAAATGCAGGTTAAAAGTTAATATACTCTAGCAATACTATAGCCCTAATAATTCCCATTCATTTTTCCTTACCAAATGGCTAACTATTAAAAAAAGAAATCCTAAAGCGGGCTAGGGCTGTGACTTAGTTGGTAGTGTTTGCCTGGCATTCATAAAGCCCTGAGTTTGATCAGTTTGCTCCCCAGCAATATCAGAGCCAGGCGTGGTGACACAGCTAATGCTCTGCAGCTGGAGGCAGAAGCAGGAGACTCGGACTCTGCCTTATCTTTACACCAAGTAACAAGCCTGACTGGGTCATGTGGGACAGTCACCTCTGCCTTTGTCTGTGTATATATATGTCTGTCTGTCTCTCTCTCTGTCTGTCTCTCTGTCTCTGTCTGTCTCTCTGTCTGTCTGTCTCTGTGTCTCTCTCTGTATCCTGGTGATTCTGAAAAATCATAAAAATGGGAACTTAGACAAACACACACACACACACACACACACACACACACACACACACACACACAAAGAAATCCTGGTAAAGAATAACTGTGGTGTGGTGAGCCTGGTGACAGGTACCTGCTGTAATCCTAGTACTTGGGAGGATGAGGCAGGACAACCATAAGTTCTGGCTAGCCTTGATCATATAACAAGACTCTGGTTCCCCCTCCCTCGGACTCCCTCCAAAACCATTAGATATAGCACTTTTGTCTCTATTACCTGTCTCTGTCGTAGGAAAGCTTGAGGTGACATTAACTCTGTCATCACTCTGTGGAGAAACAGATAATATCAACAGTTACTAGCCAAGAAAGGACAGTTTCCACATTTTAGTAACTTGGGGAATATAAGAAAGCCATGCAACTTTTTCTTTAAAACTAAGTCTAGAAATGAAAGTTTAGTGTAACTGATTGATTATCTACTTTTTCTTTAAAAGATAATTTTTTTGCTTAGTTGTATTTATGTAATTCATTCTCTAAAGACCTAACTGACCTCTCCAAACAATGTGGGAAAGGACCATCCTAAAGCAAAAACGACTATTGAGAAATACACCAGAAAGAGAAACCTTACTTTCTAATATAGTCTCTCTCTCTTTTTTTTAAATCGTTTATTTATTTTATGTGCATTATGTGTTTTGCCTGCATGCATGTCTGTGTGAGGATGTTGTATGCCCTGGAACTGGCGCTACAGACAGGTATGAGCTGCCATCTGGGTGCTGAGAATTGAACCCATGTCTTCTGGAAGAACAGCCAGTGCTCTTGACCTCTGAGCCACCTCTCCAGCCCCTCTAATATAGGTTTTGTTGTTGTTGTTTGTTTTTTCCCAAGACAGAGTTTCTCTGTGTAACAGTCCTGGCTGTCCTCAAACTCACCGAAATCTGGCTGCCTTTGCCTCCTGAGAGCTGGTATTAAAGGCATGCGCCACCACTTCCCAGCTCTAATATAGTCTCTTAAGTACATTTTTTTCTTTAGAAAGTAAAATGCAACCTTAAAGTATAATGACCATTTCTTAATTTCTGTTAAAATATATTTAAAACATGATAGATAATTTCTGGGGTGTGGCTTAGTAGTAGATGGCTTATATAACATGTCGGGGTTCAATCCACAACACCACCCACCAGCACAAGCACATGCAGAAAATGACACACATTTGCTAGAATATTCGAGTACTAACATTTTCTTTTTGGTTTTATGTGGCAGGAGCTTTCTTGGAACTCTGTATAGATCAGGCTGCACTCAAATTTATGGAGATCTGCCTGCCTCTGCCTCCAGAGTGCTAGGATTAAAGTAGTGTGCCACCCACACCTGCTCAAGTCCTAACATTTTCAATCCATTGACAAAAGTGTAAAAATGGAGCAATAACTAAATGAATATAAAGTTTATCTGCAAAAAGGAAACAAAGTTCAGCTAATTAAAAAAGAAATGCTCACTTCTTTAACCACTGCACAGCCCAGCTCCTTGCCACCTCATATGCCCACAAACCCTTTTGTGCCCAAGTACAATGGCTGGTGACAATGGAACCTGCCTACAGCAACTATGGTTCTGCAGCTGGACATTACCTACTTGGTAACCAGGCATTCAACAGCAACCCAAATGAGAAACTAGTGGGAGCTGCATGTTGGTGTGGTGACCCTGAAATTGTAGAAGGGGAAGGATGTCCTGGAATTGCAGCTCTGGCATTGTAAAACTTGCCAAGGCAGGTGAAACTAGTGCTAATACTTCCCTAACCTTAGGAAGTATTTCAGGAGATCTGAGTGTGCCTTGCTGTTACTTCAATCCATTGAAAATGTAAGACCCCCTTGTACACTCCCTGCCCCGCTCCTGGAATTTCCTGGTGCATTAGTGCACCAAGAGATACCTTGAGAGGTGTGAAGGCAGAAGAATGAGGCAGGGTATCCACGCAGCTTACTCCATCCATACCTGACAGCGACTAAATTTCAAACAAGGAAGAAACAGAAGGCAGCACCTGAGTTAGCAAATGCCAGGCAGGCAAAGTCAAGCAGTAAAATGAGCAGAGGAAAGGCCATCAACAACTTTTAAACTATTTACTAAGACACTAATACGGCTGACAGAGAAAAGCTTTGGAAAAACTGCATCATGTATGTAATCATTACATAGCAGAACCTATACAATTCAGAATACTCTAATGACCTCAGACCACATTAATCTAAAATTAAGATGCATTACTCTAGTTTTAGAGCTGCTACTAAGTCACAGAAAATATAAAGACAAACAAATGTTTCAGAACTCATGTTTCCCATACAGACATCTTGTAAAAGAGGCTTTTTCTGTTTTTTTTTTGGTTTTTTCGAGACAGGGTTTCTCTGTAGCTTTGGAGGCTGTCCTGGAACTAGCTCTTGTAGACTAGGCTGGGCTGATCTCAAACTCACAGAGATCCGCCTGCCTCCCAAGTGCTGGGACTAAAGGCGTGTGCCACCACCACCCGGCGAAATCATGATTTTAGCAAAATAGCTTTGAAACTAATGTGTCTTCTATTGCTCTGTAAAAAGGGAAATAAATATCATCAGAGAATTCATTTTTAAAGAAGCAGGGCTGGCATAAATCAAAATATTTTTCAATATTAATCCAAGTTGTACTGGAGAAGAGGGAGGACATTAGGGCTCTGCTTCACACTGTAAAGATGACCCCACATTTCATCTCTTCATCTGTGAAACTCAAAATGACCACAATTTCAAGGACGGTAAAGTGTAATCTTACTTTTATTTGACTCCTTTACCTTTAAATACAAAACAAAACAAGACAAAACTTCATGTGTATGATGTGTCCGTTTGTAAACGTGTGGAGGTGTGAGAGCAGCAGCACCACGCTGCATGGGTAAAGTCAGAGGACAACCTTAGGGTTTGGTTCTCACCTTCCTTCCGGTTTTGAGACAGCGTCTCTCTGTCATCAGCTGTTGCATAATCAGGTCACAGAGAGTCTGTCTGCATTCACAGCAGCACAGGGGTTACGGGTGCACTACTGTATCCAGTGTTACATGGGTCCCAGGGACTCCAACTCAGGTCCTCACCCTTGCACAAGTGCTTTCCTCACTGAGTTTGCCAAGTAGGCCAGGCTAGTTGGTCAGCAGACCCCAGGGAACCACCTGCATGGCCCCAGAACTACAATTACAGTGTGCAGCACCATACCAGGCTTCTTAAAGAGGGTGTTAGAATAATACACAGGTCTTTACGCATGCAAAGCAGGTACTTTACCCACTAAAACATCTCCTCATGATCCCAGTGCCTCACCAACTCTCTCTCTGTAATGATTTATGGCTGTTTTGCCTTAATGTGTGTGTCTACCATATGCACCACGTGTGAGCCTGATGCCTGCTGGAGGTCAAAAGAGGGCATCATATCCTTTGGCAGTGGAGTCACAGATAGCTGTGAGCCACCATGTGGGTGCTGGGAACTGAACTTGAGTCATCTGCAGAGCAGCAAGTGCTCTTAACTGCTGAACCATCTCTCTGGCCCCAGAAAAGCCGTTTCAAAGATGGGATGCTTAAGCAGATCCTTGAAGAATGAGTATGGATCAATCAAAGAGTGTAGGTAGAGAAGAAAGCAGTCCATGCAGAGAGAATATAGCATTACAAAGATCTGAGGACAGGGCTTTTCAGATTTGACGAACTAATTGAAAAAAAAAAAAAAAAAAAAAAAAAAAAAAGCCCAGAGATAAGGATAGAGACAGAGTAGCCAGAACACACAAAGCTTCATTCAGGCTATATTTTAAAATGTAGACTTTAAGAGCAGCATGAAATGAACTCTTTGAAGAACAATTCTGAGAAGATCAGAGATAAGATTTAAAATGTGACTCTTTAAACTTCTCTCTCTCATAGGGTAGATGACCCTGAATGCCTACTTCTCCACTGCCTAGCTTTTGTTTTTGTTTTGTTTTTTGATTTTCAAGATGGGGTTCCTCTGTTTAGCTTTGGAGCCTGTCCTGGAACTGGAACTCACTCTGTAGACCAGGCTGGTCTGAACTCACAGAGATCCAACTGTCTTTGCCTCCCGAGTGCTGGAATTAAAGGCACGTGCCACCACCACCTGGCATGATGCTGTTTATCATATAAAAAAGTATAAACTTTGCTTTTATCTTTTATTTGTTTGGGTTTTTGTTTGTTTGCTTGTGTTGTTTTTGTTTTTTGTTTTTCGAGACAGGGTTTCTCTGTAGGTTTGGAGACTGTCCTGGAACTCTCTTTGAAGATCAGGCTGGCCTCAAACTCATAGAGATCCGCCTGCCTCTGCCTCCTGAGTGCTGCTATTTGGGTGTTTTTGAGGGCCTTGTCACACAGTCTAAGCATGCTTTGAACTAGGCTTGCAGTCCAGGATGGCCTTGAACTTGAGGCAAACCTGTTGCCTATGCCTTGCCTCCTAAGAGCTAGAAATACAGAAGCACAGTACAACAGCCAAAAGTACTTGTTTTCAAGGCCACCTAATTCAGGAAACCAGGCAAACAGCCAAAATGCAAGATTTTTGTTTTGACAATGACTAACGGCTATTTCAGACTTCATGATAAGGGCATTTTGCTATTATTGTTTTTCCAAATTCTACTTTTTATTTGACCAAAACATCTGGACACTCAGAGTTTTATCACTTACTCTATGTGCTATTAAATCTTATCTTTGGCTTCCTGTCATGCCTTCAGCTTTAGCATGGAGGGCAATCCAGCATGGGTATTTACTACAGGCCTTGGATTTGTAGATTCCAACCCAGCTCTGGATTTAGCAGGTCAAAACCTTGGACAAGCCACACCTGGGTAAGGCATTCTCTGTCTCACTAAATCAGTAGCGATGAGTTTAACCTTAATTTTGAAGGTAGTTGTGAGAACTGAGTGAAATAATTGGCATCAGAGATCCTCACTATAAATTATGTTTTCACTCCTTGTGGCAGTTAATTTCTGCTAATACTCCAGAGGCACGTCATCATGGTCACTTTTAAGACTGCTCAGTTAATATGTATTTTATCCATCTTAACAGAAATGAAGATGGCAGAATACAGAGAAATGTGAGCAACAACGCAAGTTACATTGTAAAGACCTTTACACCGAAGCCCATAATTTGCACCGCACAAACCAAGGGCAGTTTCTAGTAATTGAGAGAGGAGTTGCTGCAGACATGGAATTTTTACTATAAAATAAAACCATAAAACATGATGGGAAAAGCAATTTTGTAAATGGTTAGAATTCTCTTCGAAGACTGACATAAAAAACTTGAAAGAAAGCCTTCCTGTTCCATTCACTGTAGGTGGATGAAGCAACAGGCAATAAAGCACAGTAGTATTCAAAATCATTAGCGGACAGTACTATAGTTAATGTATTCCTGAGTTAAAAATGAGCGTGGAAGAACAATCTTCAAATATAAGTAACTATTTAAACTTTAAGCTTGGAGATAAAGCTTTTGTTCCCACTTCTACACCCAGTGGGTTTTTCCAGTGCCAGTGAGCATGTGTGATACTACAAGGGGGTGGAAGGATATTCTGTAAAAATGAAAACAACAAAAACCAAATAGGTTGCCACATATAATTAGTGTCATGGAGTGTGGGACTCCACTTAACACACAAGGGTGACTCATGAGCCAAATTAATGATTAATAAGATGTCCTCAAAATTAGAAAAGACATTAAAAATTAATTATGACATTATGTCTCATCACATATAAATTTAGCAAGTAGGGTTCTCAATGCAGATGTTTCCCTGGGAAGCACTGGGAAGGTGCATGAGTCAAACTCTAGAAGCCTGGCTAGATCACAAAGTTAATGGAAGAGGCAGTTCTGGTTATTTGTAAAGCATTTAGTGACGGTGCCCATCATGTTTTATGGTATTTACATCAATTCTGAGGGAAAGCACAACAGCTAGAAACAACATGAACTCCACTATGCACATTTCTCTTACCACTAACAAGGCACTATCATCAGTGTGCTGAGACCTTCTGGATGGGAAGGGACACTGGGAAGGTGAAGAAAATGAAGCAATGTCAAAAACAAACAATGTACACAAGAGACACATTTCACAAATACATACACAGGAAAGCAACATATGAAGGCACATTTCCAAAGATGCTGACACACAGGACCACATGCATCACCTGTAGTTCATGACATCACAGTCAGTAGATTGATTTTTGAGTCCTGACTTCCTCCTAGAGACCTTTAACAACTTCAAATGAGACCTTACTGCCTATACACCTTCTAAAACTCAGGCACCAGGATGACTCTGCTTATAGAAGAGAACAATGAAGTACTGATGCAACTACAGCATAAAGAATCTATGGACATTTCCTAAACCCACGACAAATTAAAAGTAGACCTAAAGTTATGATTTCCAGTCAAGGCATCTTTTCATTGCCTTTCTTAGACAAGTAAGGAAATGTTAGCTGCTGTATTGGCAGGAAACACTTGGGAAGTGGGGACAGGAGGAGCAAGAATTCAAGTTCATCACCTTACATGGTGAGTTTGAGTCCTGGCTGGGCTACATGGGACATCATTTCAAACAAGGGGGAAAAAAAAGAAAAGAGAAACAAAAACAGAAATGTTGAAGTAAAAAAATTTATTAAGCTCATCAAACTTTGGTTGTTAAAAGTTTTATAATTATTACTCTGAAGAAAGGACAACTGAAAATACATGAATGACACTTTAAGGTCTCATACCCACGACACAAAGTGTTTATACAAAAGTAAATCAAAATGGTTACTAAGAACTTTGCTTCAAAACCATTAGCTATCATAAAAAATCTCTAGATGGTTGTCTAGGCAGCCCTAACATATATGTTCTCATAACCTCCTTCCTTATCCTGTGCCTTATTTTTCTTCCTATGTAGAATTTCATTTATTTATTTATTTATTTTTTGTTTTTCGAGGCAGGGCTTCTCTGTGTAGCTTTGAAGCCTGTCCTGACACTCTGTAGGCCAGGCTGGCTTCGAACTCACAGAGATCTGCTTGCATCTGCCTCCCAAGTGCTGGGATTAAATGAGTGTGCCACCACTGCCTGGCAGTATACAGAATTCTGTGGTGGGGAAAAAAGACAATTTTGGGAAGCAGGTTGGTTTGAGATGGAGGTTCCTCTACATAGTTCAGGCAAGCCAGAAATTCACTATGTAGCCCAGGCTAGTCTTGAACTCTTTAGCCTCCCGCCTCTGCCTGCCAGATGATGAGATTATGGGCATGTGTCACTACACCAGCCAAAGAAAGTATTTATTGATCATTTAAAAACTTTGATTACTGAAAACATGATAATCATATGTCAAACATTTCATTTCCATTCCAAAAATAATAAATTCCAAGAAAAAGTAATTATATGGCCTTACCTCACCATCTCCAGGGGGTTGCTGTTTCTGTGGACTTTGTGACGCTTTTTGCTATATGCCCAGAAAGAGGAAGCTAGTTAGAATCTCAACTGCTGGAACTTATACATTAATCAAATAGATCACATCTATTTATTTCTTGTATTTACTAATTAAGGAGAGTATGATCCTGTTTTTTGTTTTTGTTTGTTTGTTTGTTTTTCCAGACAGGGTTTCTCTGTGTAGCTTTGGAGCCTGTTTTAAACATTTTGGTTTAAATGAAGAACAGCAACAAACTATACTATCATACTTTTATAAGTATGATATAAGTATCCTACTTTTATATTTTTTAAATAGAAAAAACTAAAAACTACACATATACATTCATATCTCATGAATATTCTCATGAACTCATTCACTCAAATGGCTTTACATATTTCTTTCTGCATTTATCTTTAATGATTTATTCATTGTTCAGCACTCATCGATTTAGAAATTTCTCATATGCTTAATTTACAAAGGGCACAGTGCCTGCCATGGCAATATTAAAATTAATAATAGACTTTTAAGTTTAATATGATACACATGGGGGGCTGGAGAGATGGCTCAGAGGTTAAGAGCACCAGCTGCTCTTCCAGAGGTCCTGAGTTCGGTTCCCGGCAACCAGGTGGTGGCTCACAACCATCCATTATGAGATCTGGTGCTCTCTTTTGGTGTGCGGATGTACGTGGAAGCAGAATGCTGTATACATAATAAATAAAATCTTTCAAAAAAAATATCATACACATGGAGGGCACAGAATAGCTCAGAAAAGCACAGTGTGACACATGTAGGCACAAACGCAAATGCTTCTATCTCCTTGGCAATACTGCCAACCAAGCTTAGAAATTACACCTTCATATTATACCAGTCTAATTACTGCAATTACTTTCTGTACCATTTTCTCCTTTTGTTTCTTTCCAGATTGTTCTAACAAGAGAAAATGGATTTTTCAGAAGGATCTTTCTTCTCATGTCGTAGAGTCGTCGTGTCTCCCCCCCCCCCCCACTAAGAACTTCTAATTTCTTAATTTCTTTCTTCTGCTTAACAGATCAAACTCTTGGGAAATTATTTTGCTCAATCCGATAGTATGACTATTTAACTCCTACTAGCTGTTAAGCTTCTACAGAAGGCAAGCTAAATAAGCTAACAATAGCAACTGAGGTACACTAGTCACTATGGATTACTGAGAGGCCAGACAGCAGTCTGGTCAGACTAGCTGGCTTTATTAGACTCCCCACTCTATTACTAGCTGAGCACCTCAGGCAAGCTATTTTCCTTCATGCACCTCAATTTTCTGATCTATAAAAAGAGGATGGTAATTCTTTTCATGGTGGCATGTATCTTTAATCCAGCAGTTGGGAGGCAGGGGCAAACAGATCTCTTGAGTTCCAGGCCAGCCTGGTCTACAGAGCTAGTTCCAGGACAGCCAAGGCTACACCTCAGAGAAACCCTGTCTTAAAAAAACAAAACCAAAACAAACGGGGGTGGGGCTGGGGAAGGGAACGGGGATAGGGACTGGGATGGAGACAAAGAAACTGCTTAAAACGTTTGATATGTAGAAAGCATTCATTGAATTTTGTAAGTGTTATTGTTACCATGCCATCTTCACCATCTCATCAATTCACTGGCTTTTGCTGTCTCAAACCAAATTCTAAACTAGATGCTATTTTCCTCAAGAGCCATTATGTCAAGCATATAAATTATGGAAGAGCATTCCTAGCTCCTAAACCACCCACATTCTCTCAACCTATAATGCCACAGACCGGTTCCTAGGATAACATATGTCCTTCGAAGGTCATTTCTGATGATATGCTTCTTCTTTGCCTTGGTATAAAACAAGCGCTTTCATTCTAAGCTGTTTTCTTTTACTTCCTTACTCACCGTTCCTGACAAAACCTAATTAAATTGAGCCTTGTGTATTATTTACCTTTACAGGCACATCACCAGCACTCACTCACGTCCCATCAAATCAGTGAATGATGTGGATCAAGTAAGGCTTTAGGAGACCCAGGTTTGTCTTCTGAGCACAATTAGCCTACTATATGTGGGACCAGTGCTTCACTTCTGTATTGCAGCTTCATTTGTGAAACACAAACACTCTCATCTTCCCTACTATAAATATGAAACAGATGGACAGACAGTCTTGACTATGTTTTAAGTCTTTATTTGGTAATAAATCAAGTAAAGACTTATGGAAGAGGGCAATGCTTGACAAATTAGGGGAAACAGTGTATAGCAATAGATGATTTAAGCAAAATCATGACAGGAGGTAAAAGACATTTTAGATAAACAAACATTTTAGCCACCTACATTCTCAGAGATAAGGCACAAAAGGAGGAGACATCTCAGGATGAAGAGAGGAAGAGAGGTGCTGGGAGGTGATAAGCCTGGTTGAGATCACTTTTCAGACTTCTAGAAACTTGTTTCTAGGAATGCTGATTTAGCTTTTGTCACTGGTCAGATGATTTTTCTACATTTTGTCAGAAGCAATAGGCAGTGGTTCCACTAAAGAGGACTCCAATGAGGAGGAGGACCATGGTCATCACAGGGCTGAAATAGCTGAGAGGGTGTAGCATGGGGAGAGATGAATACAGGGCTGGAGAGATGGCACAGTGGTTAAGAGCACTTGTTCTTGCAGGGGATCTGGGTTTGGTTCCAGTAACCACATGGTCGCCTAGAACTCTGTTCCAAAGGGTCTGAAACCTTCTTACATCCAAGGGACCCAGGCATGCATGCAGTACACACACACATACATACATGCAGGCAAAACACACAAAAAAGAAATATAAAGGAAGGATTCACATAAACAGTAGAACAAAAAAGCAGAGAGTACTTTCAAAAGATGGTCTCAGTCTAAAATCTTAAAACACAGGAGAGAAACTTTTCTAGGCAAGAATGACTCATTAAACAAGTCTCTGAGTTTTTCTACAGTCTCAAACCTGCTAAGCTCTAGTGAGCAAAACACACAGTTCCTGTCTTAAAGTTTGCAAATGAATGAGAGAGACATATATGTGAACAAAATTATAAATACCTATTATTTATCACTTAATAATTCCAAGATGATTTCAAAATGAAAAAGCAAACCATACAATCAACATTTGTTTTCCATAGTTCTCAACCTGCACTACAGATGCTATAAAATATCCATGGAAGAAACAGTAATGGTGTCCTTATCGAGCAGGCATGTTAACAGGAAGGAAGGAAAGAATCAAAGACCATGAAAGAATGAAGCCTTGCCAACAGCATTTCCTATAGGAAAAATCTGGAGACAGGTTTGGATGATAACAGTTTGACATTCACATGGTTCTGCTGCTTTTATGATCTTTACCACACCTGAGATGGGAGAGCCAGCAGCCCCATAGTAAGGTGGTCAAGGTAATGGTTTCTACTGGTTTAGAATCAGTCACAACTACGGCTATAGGAGACAGTCACTCTTTTTTTTTTTTTTTTTAAGATTTAATTTATTTATTATGTATACAGTCTTCTGCCTGCATGCCAGCAGAGGGCACCAGATCTCATTCAAGGTGGTTGTGAGCCACCATGTAGTTGCTGGGAATTGGACTCAGGACCTCTGGAAGAATGGGCAGTGCTCTTAACCCCTAAGCCATCTCTCCAGCCCAGTCACTCTATCTTTAGTTGAGATTCCTTATGAGAGAAACAATTGGTCCTTTAATTAATGCAACAATAACTGACAGTCTTGGCAAAAAGAATTTACATTTACTTCTCCTAACTTCAAGAGTATCTGTCAATGACGGTAAAGGACTTACTTTGACAAAGTCCAGAACAGCACCTCTCTGAATCTGCTTGGTCCGTATTTTCTCCTCCTCGTACTGCAGGGCTGCAAGCTGTGCCTCTCTCCGAGTGCATTCGATCAACTGTCCTCTCCTCTGATTAAGCTCCAAGTCTGAATTCGAAAGCTGCAAGAGAGGTTTCATTTTGGACATACAAGTGAGGATAAGGGTCAACACGTCAGTAACCTATATGAATATAAAGAATGCTGCTAACTCAAGTTTTACTTTGCATAACTAACATTTAAAAAAAAATTCACTGTTGTTGTATGTATGAAAGCAGGAACTATCATGTCCACATGCTATATGAACTGAGAAGACAAATAGTAAGACTTATAGATATTGCAATTAATGGCAGTTTAAGTATTATAAAAGAAAAATAGGTTGACAAGAAAGCCCAGCCAGTAAAGGCGCTTGCCACCAAAACCTAATGACCTGGGTTCAATCCCAGGAACCCACGTGGTGGCAAATGCCTTTAGTCCCAGCACTCAGAAGGTAGAAGCAGGCAGATATCTGTGAATTTGAGGCCAGCCTTGTCTACAGAGTGAGTTCCAGGACAACCAGGGCTACATAGATAGAAACTCTATCTCAAAAAAAAAAAAAAAAAAAGATAGAAACTCTATCTCAAAAAAAAAAAAAAAAAAATCAAACAAAAGAACAAAATCTAGTTGATAAAAAAAACTTACCTGATTGTGACTTGGTGGCAGTGATAACACAGATGATGGCTCAAGTGGAGCCCTGGGTCACAAAAAGAAAAATAAGAGCTCATTGACAACAAAATAAGAGACAAGTGAAAGTTCATTGTTTACAGTTTACAGTTTCTGTTAATCAGCAGGCAACCTGTTGAGTCAACATTGAAAGAGTAATTGCATTTTGTAAACCTAAGCCCAAGAAACTTCATTAAACCACAGGCCTACCTGTTATCCGCAACTTGCATATCATGTGACGGTATCACTGATGGCTAGCTAACCACTGTCTACGCCGTCAATACTGATGACAGTTGGTTGAGAGCACTTTTCAAAAAGTTTTTTTTTTTTTTTTTTTGTAACATGCAGAGCTGTTACCCACTTTCCTACCATCACTGAAACAAGAGATGTGTAAACTGAGATGCCTTGATGGACACAGCTATTTTATCAACAGAAACCTGGGCTGCGGTAGAAACCCGGGGACTACACTTACAGAGCATCTTATGCAACAAAGTAAAAATTCTATTGATTTTTACTCTGAAGGAAAAGGCGAGGCTCTACGTGATGCTTAACAAACACAAAAACAGCACTATTCTCCTCCATTTTACAGTTTGGTATTTATTTTCTTCCTCAAGCAGGGTTACATTTTTCCAGCCTCTGCAAACAATGTGTGCTTCACTGACATCAATAAGCTAGTAGGCAAACAGAAGCAAACTCTAAGTTCTTGTAGTCTCAACACCTAAAAAATAATATTCTTTTTTCTTTTTCTTGCTAGTGTTAGAAGTCAACTCAGGGGCTCAAATTCTTTAGTCTGACATTTAGGACTACCACCCCACTTAATGTGCCTATCTTTTCTCTGGTAGGATCTTATCACATATTAAGGACACAAATTTCTTTTCTAAAGACTCTGTGATGGTCAGGTTTTTGTTGTTGTTGTTGTTTGCTTGTTTTGCTTTTTGGTTTTTCAAAACAGGGTTTCTCTGTGGCTTTGGAGGCTGTCCTGGAACTAGCTCTTGTAGACCAGGCTGGTCTAGAACTCACAGAGATCCACCTGCCTCTGCCTCCTGAGTGCTGGGATTAAAGGTGTGTGCCACCACTGCCCGGTGATGGGTCAGTTTTTATGTCAACTTCACACAGGCTGGTGTCATTGGGAAGAAGCCTGAACTGAAAAAGTGGCACCACTAGATTTGCCTACAGGCACACCAGTGTGGCATTTTCTTAGTGTTTGAAACGGGAGGGCTCAGCCCACTGTGGGTGATACCACCCCTAGGCAGGGGGTTCTGAAGTGCATAAGAAAGCAGGCTGAGCATGAGTAAGTATCATGAATCCATGGCTTCTGTTCCAGTTCCTACTTCCCAGGTCCCCACCTGATTTCCTACCCTGGCTTACTTCACTGATGGTCTTACAAACTAAGGTGAAATAAACCCCTCTCTTCCCAAGTTGTTTTCGATTGTGATGTTTTTACCACAGCTACAGAAACCCTAACTAAGACAGACTCCAATTCATGGAGAACATCTCAAAATGGTCCTTTCTTTTTCTTTAGTTTTGTTTTTCAAAGATTTATTTATTTATTATGAATGCAGTGTTTGGCCTGCAAGTATGACTCCAGGGATTAAACTGAAGTTGTCAGGCTTGGTGGCAAGCATATTTACCTGCTGAGTCATCTTGTTGACCCAGGACTTCCCCCTTTGATATATTTGTGAAATCAAGGTTTATCATTTATAAAATAAAGCTCATGTCATTATTTGGGATAACATCTTTCTGGGACAAACAGACAAATACTCATTGGGTTCTTACCATGAACTGCTACTGTATTAAGTATTTCGCACATACTTGGTGTTTCTTGATTATGCCTCACAGTAATCCTATGAACAAAGAACTACTATAATTCTCAGCTGAAAACTAAGAATTTCAGCCACAGGAACAGTGACCTTACTAAGGTGACACAGTCTATAAGTTGTAAAGTTAGACTTAAATCCTGCTATTTGATTTTATATTCTCAACTACCAGGTAATCAATGAGAACTGAAAGGGACTTCAGGTACTGTGCAGTATAAGCCATTACTTTTACAACTAAGAAAAATGAGCCCCTTGGGGCTTAATGGAAGGTACATATGTCAGATCCTGAACTAGAACCCACGCTTCCTAGTGAGTAGTGTAGAGCTCCTCCTCCTCTATCATCCCCACTTAACACAGAGAAGATGAGAAAGGGAAGTGCTCTGGGACTTAAAAATGGAGCACTAAACCAGGCGTTGGTGGCACACGCCTTTAACCTTAGCACTTGGGAGGTAGAGGCAGGTGGATTTCTGTGAGTTTGAGGTCAGCCTGGTCTACAGAGCTAGTTCCAGGACAGCCAGAGCTGTTACACAGAGAAACCCTGTCTGAAAAAACAAAAAAATGGAGCACTACACACACCGAAGAAACATGAACCTGTAATGCCAACAACTAAGGTGAGAGAAGTTAAAGATGGAGACCACTTGGCGTGCTGTGGGCCCGCCACAGCTTTGTTCCTCCCCTAGTGTGTCACTATCATACTTCACGCCGCCACATGATTTCTTTTCACTCATGGATGTGTCTCAACAACAAACAGCATTACTCACATTTCACATATGGTAATTTTTAAGACTGTCCCTTACGTTAGAGGTGGCTCGGCCTTAGACCTGCTAGTAGCGCCTGCAGTCAGTCATCTTGGGAAGGTGTATGTGTTCCTAGGGAACACCACCTGAGATTGTCTGGCCTCTACATGCATATACACATATGTGCATGTACACCTGCATACACACTGCATCTTCCCAAACATACATGTTCATTCATACACAAAAGATACGACAGGTCATCATAGACCATAAAAACATACTGGAATGACTACATGTTTAGGATGACAGGAATTAATGACATCTTTGTCCCAGCTTTACTACTCTGAAGACTGAAACTTCCTACAGCTTTTATTAGCCATCTCTGTATGATCTGAACCTAAACAAAGGACCAGCTAAACCCATCCCCAGTAGGGTTATGTGTTCTTCCCACCTGAACACTGTTTTTGAATCATTTAATATATACCTTCTCCTACCATATTTATCTCATTTTGAAAACAGAAGCTAATGAAGGACTCCAACACTGCATGACTTTTCTAGGCCCTGTCTTCTTTTACACATTTGGAGACAGGGTCTCATTAAGTTGTCTAAGCTAGCATTGAACTTTCGATCCTTCTACCACAGGCCCCTGAGTGCCTGGGATTCCTGGCCTGTGCTCAGCTAATACCATATTTCTTTACCCTCCTTTTATACTGACCTTTCTTTTAAGAAGCTAGCCAAACCCAGTCTCTATTTTGTACGTTTTACATTCACTGGGCCACTTGAGCAGCGAAGCTCTGCCCAAGGCAGCATGCCTATCCTCACCCAGCCTAGTAGATCTGTGGTATGCGACACTTCATCCTTGTCTCTCTTTTTTTCTGAAAGGGTTTGTGGTTTTATTTATTTATTCATTTTCTTTGCTGTGCAGCCTGGCCTTGGGATTGGTGACTGACAGCCAGCTGTGCTGTTCTACTGTTTGGTTCTTGGAGGGAACGCTGTGAGCGATCTCAGCACAGTAAGGTTTGCTGCTCAGCAGCAGCACCTCCAGCTTAGCCATTGTGGACCAGGAACTTCCAGAAGCTACTGGAGAGCATGTTGTTGCTCCTTACTGATTGATGCTGGGCACCAGAGTTTGGCCCTGGATCTCCTCTGCACCCTAATGTCAATATATCTGGCTTTCTAACAGTTTTGTTTAGTTTTGACACATCATTCTGATTGGTGCTAAGTGAACGTATTGGTCCTCTTTTTGGTGGCCTTGGGCTTCATCAGATGCTGGAGGGCAGCCATGATGCTGCCAAAGAAATGGTAGCTACCTGGAAGGCAGCACAGAAGAAGAATGAAGCCTTCTCCATTTTTAAAATCCTCCTTTTCATTTATCCTTTCAAACATTATCCTTTGTTTTCCATCCCTATGAGTGCTCCTGCTCAGGCTCTTTTGCCAGTTGTTTAAGCTTCAAGTTCTCCATATCTCTTGAGTACCTAACTGCTTACTCAATACTTCAAGTGTGTGCCTAATGGGCATTTATAGAAAATGGCCATATCCATTATGAGATAAATTTCAAAGTATATAAAATTTAACTAAACCTCTAAGAAATAAGTGATGGGTATAAAAGGCCAAGTTATAAAATTTTCATATTTGGGGCTGAAGAGATGGCTCAATGGTTAAGAGCACTGACTTGTCTTCCAGAGGACTTGTGTTCGAGTCCTGGAACCCACATGGCAGCTTACAACTGTCTGTGACTTCAGTTCCAGGAGACCTGACACCCATGGCAAAACAACAATGCACATAAAAAAATTCATTCTTCTTCCTTTACATTTTCTTTATTCCATCTATACCATAATTCCAGAGACAGCATTAGCATGCTCTTTGTTATGAATACCTATGGATGGATGATAGATGCTACACAGTAAATTCACTGTCATTTAAGAACAGACATATCAGCGAGGTGTGGTGCTGCATGCCTATGATTCCATGAGGCAGAGGCAGGTGGATCTCTGAGTTCAAGGCCAGCTGGCCTATAGACTGAGTTCTAGGACAGCCAAGGCTACATAGAGGAATCCTAATTTTGAAAAATAAAAACCACCCCCCCCCAAAAAAGAAAAGATATATCAAGCCTGTTTTTAAGATTTCATACACAAAGACCAAAGACTGGAAAAAAAATTTAACTAATGTGATACAGTTTATAGGCAGAAACATTTTAGAGTTCTAGGAAAAAAAAAAAAACAGCATTGAGTTAATTTCAGAAATAGGGGGACTCTTAAGTACAGTGGAGAGACTGTCAAAATTGAAGTAAGAATGGAAATAAATGTAACCTCTTCTGTTACCCATTCAAAAATTTAAGTTAAAAAGTGGGGCTTCTGAAAATCTTTAAATTTTCTATTCATAAGTAAACACCCATCACCACAAAATTTCACTATTACTAAGTACTTTCAAATTAACTAATTCTAAAGTAATGATTTAGGTAGTCTGGATTTGGAATCAATAAATCATTTTTACAATGATGTGAACACACATACAGACTTACCTACTTTTAAATGCATGGCATGTAAAGTACACACAAACCAAATGTCTTCATTATATTTGCATCTGCACAAAACCAAAATCAACTCACAGTCTTATTACTGAGTTTCAAGACAGAAAGAATTAAGTAGAGTTGCTTTTTCAAACCTGTTTTGATGTGAGTATCTTTTCATGTCTTCTGTTTTTTGAAACTCTCTAATAGGTATTGGCTTTACTGGTGTACCCTAGACCAAAAAGAAAAGTCAGTAAATAAATTTAAAACACATAATATATCAAAAATGCTGTGTTTTTTAATTAGTTTTACCTTTAGGAAATTTATTTTGATAGGACTTTCCTTTGTGAGCTGTGTCTGAAAGCATGCAGGCTAGCAGGCTGTGCTGGTGCATGCCTAAAATCCCAGCACTTGGGAAGCTGAGGCAAAAGAACTCAGTTTGAAGACAGTCTAGGTAACAGAAAGACTCCATCTCAAGAAACTAAAAGCAATGGCTGCTGAGATGAGTCAGTGTGGAAGGTACTTGCTGTGCAAACCAGAAACCTCAGAGTGATTTCCAGAACTACAGAAAGCTGGACGGAGAGACCCAACTCCACAAAGCTGTCCTCTGAGCTCCACAGATACACTGTGGTATGTGAGCTGACATACTCACATACATACAAATGAACAAAAGCAGAACCAAACCAAAACAAACACACATTAAAAACCCTATAGGCTGTATTATAGGCTTTGATGAAAAAAATATGCAAAAAATCTATGAATATTTAATTTATTTAACAGGTTATCTTCTTATTGTATAAATTAGTGATTACACAGAGTAATATTATCAGAATAAGAAGGACCGTAGCAGCCAGGTGTGGTGTCGCACATCTTTAATCCCAGTACTCAGGAGGCAGAGACAGGTGATCTTTGTGAGTTCGAGGCCAGCATGGTCTATATAGTGAGTTCCAGACCAGCCAGGGCTCTATAGTGAGGCCCTGTCTCAAAACAAACATAGAAGACCTCGGCACTCACCCACTGGCAAGCTTACTGCATATGCTGAATTAGCTCATTACCTTCTTTCACTGCTGCCTCACACTTTACAAGCTGCCCCATGTTAGAAAGCTACAGCACACACAGACGCCTCTACAATGTGGTAGGGAAACAGTAACACAACATTGCTCAGCAGGCCAGTAAGCAGTTTCTGTTCCATTCTGCAGAGACACTCTACTCAGACAACCTAACATTATAAAGTGATTAAAGGAAGACAGGATAAGAAAAGAGATTTCTCTAAAGAGTACTATTAGCATTATTAATTTAAATTCTATTAGAAAGTAACTCTTGACTCTAGGCAAAGACTAACAGCTTGAACCACAGGTCAGTTTTATCACCTACTGGTCTATCATCATCTCTCGGCTACAGGGTTTGATTTATGTGATTTTATCTGATTTTAGAGACAAGTGTCTTCTGAACTGTAACAAAAATGACTGTGTTCACAAGCCTTCAAACAGGAGCCAGAGGATTCTTTTAAGGAATGCTATTACTCCACAGTGCACTCCACTTGAAGCAACTGATTCTTGATTTCTAAGTTAAATACATCATTCTTCAAAAAGGCCCCTAGTGTTTCTCAAACAACTCCTGCTCAGAGCCTGGGACAAGCTCCAGACATTAACACAGCACACACTAAAATGAAGCCATTTTACTATGTTGACTAGACACATTGAAGAATGCTATTCTACTTGAGACCCTTGAGGAATTGGCAGAGAGTCTACAGTGGTCTGAATGCTTACTTGTATTTTAGGCAATTCAATGCTTCATTATAAGAGACACCCAAGAATTTTAATAGCAAACAATTTATATTCTGTTAGCTTAGGATAAAAGTACCAGTATAATTAAATATTATTATTCTATGGGTGGGTAACTTGAATGTTTCCTCAAAAGTCAACCTTGGTTAAATTAATTATCTATCAAATTATGATTTATAGTTAGCAATAATAAAAAAGAAAAGCAATCAAGAAGGAAAAAAAAGCCAGTCAGAAAGCAAAACAATATAAAAAGGAAAAGTATCCTATGCCATGCACTTTCTTCAAAGGAATGAGGCCATGCTCAGGCGTCACTCTTGGGTCTCCTTTTACTGCATCCTCAAATGAGTGAAATCTGCCTTCTTATCTGAAGAATAAAACTTGAACCATTCTTGAGACTACTTCCTGATTTTTCCAAATTAAATCTGAAAAATCCAAGAACAAAACTGTAAAGGAAAATAAAACATATAGGCCTTGACCAATAAATCACGTATTACGACTGCAATTTATACCAGCGTGATTGTTTTCAGTAGGGGATAGTAATTTCTTTAGGCTAGAATGGGGATACTACCTCATGGGAGATTCGACGTTGTTCAATGTATGCCATGAACTGTGAGCTGAGACTGCTGCTATCCAAGCCTTTGGGCTGTTTGACATCGTTTTCTTCTTCTTCTGTAGTGCAGCTGTCAATATAGTCAATCTGATCTAGATCATGCTCCACTGTACCCCAGAGAGAGAGAGAGAGAGAGAGAGAGAGAGAGAGAAATTCAAAGTTAAACAGTCAATAAAGTTAAATTATATTCTCCCTTTTCCTTGTGTTTGTTCTATGACACAAGCCTTTAGTATTTACTCTACAGCCCCTTATAAAAATCATCTCTTGAAAACCTTAGTCCATATACACTAAAGATTGTAACAACTGAGGGTGAGTCATTGAAATGCAGACTCTGACATGTATTTTCTCTGGATGGCTCAGCAGTGTTTTAAACAGGCAGTCTGGAGTCTGTGAGACAGAAGCTGGCTGGTAGGCTACAGCTTAGAGACAGACAGCTGTGTCCTTTCATTAGTTTGGGATTCAGAAAATGCATCCATTAACTCAGAAGAGAGCAGAAGACAACAAAAGATATGGGAGAAGAAGAAACTTATTGACTGCTTCCCTTCCTCCCAAAAAAAAAAAAAAAAAAAAAAAAAAAAAGAGAGAACAAAGATTTCCCTATTTAAATTATGTGCCAGAGGTCAATGCTTTGGATACTTTTGCAGCAATCTGTGAGTGAAACGGAGTCATCTGAAGAATTTTTTTCTTCTCAAGATACTTTGCTAAAAATCAAATACTGACTGGAAAGTATATCTCATAAGTTATAAATGTCTACTCAGCTAAAAAAGACACTTTAGAAGAAGAAAGGGAGGCAACTGGGGACATGGCCATAGAATGGTTTCATCTGCTAAGCTTCTGGATGTCCGTAATTGTTGAAGCTACCTACTTTTAACAGCTAGTTAAAACGGCACACTGGAAGATGCCTCACTGCGAGACGTTTCTCAAGCAATATATTAAACACCAACCATTGTTTTATGTTGTCCCACTGTGTCAGAACCCTGAATTTAACTGAACTGGTTTATATTAAATTGAATTTTGTATTATAAGTTTATTCAGATCTAAAAGGATAAAAAAAGTTGTAAGGTGACATTATATTAGAAATCTCTCTCTCTCTCTCTCTCTCCCTCTCTCTCTCTCTCTCTCACACACACACACACACACACACACACACACACACACACACACTCACACACACATTCATTTATTCTATATGCTGTAATTTGTTCAATTAAATAGTTTACATATTAAGAACATTTTTCAAGAAAACAACATCAGGCTTTCATATTATCCAGACTAGTACAGTCAAACTTTGATGAAGATTTTGTAGTTATATCTCAATTCAGAAAAGCCACATTTCAGCTTTTAAATTTGTATGCTGGATATATCTGTGGTGTATGCATGTGTGCAAGCGTGTGTATGGCTGTATGTGCACATGTATGTGTACATGTGGAGGTGAGAGGTTGACGTCAAGTGTCTTTATTGTTAATCAGCTTATTTTTCATAAGTAACAGAAATGAAGAATGTAAGCCAGAGAGGAGAAAACAACACCACCAAACTCCACAAAAAACAAATGACTTCATTAAAAATGAAACTGCTTCTCAAAAACATGTGCATTTCTAGAAAATCGATGTAATTTTTCCCTCAGCACTGGCCCTCAAAATTTGAACCTAAGGCTTTAAAATTCAAACTGGAAGAATACAGAATAGAATGCTAAACTCTGCTTCAGAAGTACATGGAAGCAGAGAGAACTGTTTATTTCATAAAAATGACTGCTAAGTTCAGTGTCAGAATAAGAAAAGCTAGTTTTCAGAAGCTGCAAACAACACCATTTCAGATGGAAAACAAAGTCGACACTAAGACATGCCCTGGAGGATGGGCTGGTAGACACCTATAGTCCCCAATGTTCAGGAGGCTGGAAGGTTACTTGAATCCAGGGGCTGCATGTCAGCCTGGATAATGGGGTAAAAACTCATTTTAAAACAGTGCTGGCTAAATGACTCAGTAGGCAAGAGCATTTGCTGCTGGGCCTGATGACCTGAATTTGATCCCTGGGATCTGCAAGATGGAAGGAGAGAAAAAGTCGTCCTCTAACCTCATCATGCCTGTGGTGGTATACTCCTTCCCAATAAACAAATAACTCTATTTTTAAAAGTGAAAAACAAACACAAGCAGATAAACATCATTGATCAAAGAGCTCAAGAAATCTCTTTAAATGGAGAATCTTAAAAAGAGACTCTAATTACGGGAAGAATACTGTAATAAGACCAAGATAAAAAGAACTACTCCAGATATAGGCTGGTAGACACTTTAGCAAGGAAACTGTCCTTGCTAAAGTTTCCCCTGAAGTAAGCGTGAGAAATACTTTTAATTACAAACTGAACATATAGAGAAATTAAAATTTCATCCCAATGACAAACCTTTTTTTTTTTTGTCATATATGAACAGAAGTCTTTAGAATCATGAAGGAGATACAGATAGGAAGATAAAAGAGTGGGAATGACAAAGACATCACAAACTCCCTACTTGTGACACCATGCCTTCCCTGCATGCTGCCATATCTTCCTCACCATGGTGGCCTGGAACCCTCTGGAACCCTAAGCCAAAACAAACTATTTCTTCCTTAAACAACAACAACGTTAAGGCAGGAGCTAGGTTCAGTTGGTGAAGTCCTTTCCTATTACACACAGGCCCTGGGTTCAATCCTCAGCACTACAAAACCAGGTGTGGTAGAACGCACCTGTACTCCCAGGGCTGGGGAGAAGGCAGGAGGAGCAGAAGTTCCAAGTTATTCTGGGTTTGAAGCCAGTCTGGGCAACAGGAGAGCAGGTTATAAAACAAAACAAGCTAACTAAAAAGGCTTTAAATATCATCAGAATCTTGTTTACCTCCGCCATTTGTGACTACCACACTGTTTCGATTCTCCTGGTACTGGCTCTCTCTCCGAAGTCTTTGCTCTTTAGTAATCTCCGCCACTCGAAGAGGCAGATCTGAAAATTCATCTGTAGGCTTAAAAAAAGCAGAAACATTAAAAACCATAATTTCCTGGTGGCACATGCCTTTAATCCCAGCACTCGGGAGGCAGAGGCAGGCGGATCTCTGTGAGTTCGAGGACAGCCTGGTCTCCAGAGCAAGTGCCAGGATAGGCTCCAAAGCTACACAGAGAAACCTTGTCTCAAAACAAAAACAAAACAAAAACAAAAACAAAAAAAAAACAAAAACAAAAAACAAAACCAAAAACCAAAAAAACAAAACAAAACCCTCCCATAATTCCCAAGGGTTGTGGTGTTGTGTGCTTTTAATCCTAGCACTCAGGAAGCAGGGGCAGGCAGATCTCTGCAAGTTTGAGGCCAGTCTGGTCTACAGAGTGAGTTCAGGACAGCTAGGGCTACACAGAGAAACCCTAAAAACAAAACAAAATAAACAAACAACCCCCCCCAAACAAACCAAACAAACAAAAAATCCATCATTCCCAAGTTTAGATAATATAAAGTACACGGATAGAAACTAAAATTTACAAAGAAGAATATAAAGCAAAAAAGTTTTGGGAATTGACAGTGAATATTGTATATTCTGTGAACATATTTAATACAACTAAAATGTGTACTTTAGAATGGCAAATTTTACCACATGAATAAAAATAGAAGGATATTCAGAACTGTAAGTATTTACATGGGTTTAAATTATCTACATATATATACAATGCAATATTCATGAACATAGTCACCAAGATCTACATATGTAACTACAAATTGTAACTAAGTTGTAATCTCATTTTAATTTGTTTTGATTTACTTATTATTTGATTTATTTACTTATTTATGTTTAATAGGGTCTCACTGTGCAGCCCTGGATGACCTGGAACTATGTAGTCCTGGCTGGCCTTGAACTCACAGAGCTCCATCTGCTATTGCCTCTAGAGAGCTGGGATTAAAGCATTCAAGGCATGTGCATCAGGCTTCTGTTTTGAACTCTTAATGAAGCAATCTTAGAAAATGTTGGTTACCAGTCCCTCTAGCAAAAGTGTAGTCATTTAATTCATAGCTAAAATATACTCTAGTAATTTTATTTATTTATTTATTTTTCATGACAGGGTTTCTCTGTATGGCATTTGAGCCTGTCTTGACACTTGCTCTGTAGACCAGGCTGGCCTTGAATTCACAGAGATCTACCTGTCTCCGACTTCCGAGTGCTGGGATCAAAGGCATGTGCCACCAACTCCCATCTAGTAATTTTAAATGACAAAAAAATATAATACTAATGAAAAAGAATAAAAAACCCATGTATTTTGGGGCATGTGAATGAACTCACTAAGATGTTCCACCTTCTGTAGGACTGAAGCAGAGCCTTGCCCAGAGCCAGGGAAGAGCTCCACCATTGAGCTAACACCTGGGTCAGGCTCCACCTCTTTACCCATTAGTTTAGCATCCTGTTTACCTCAGCTTCCAGCGCCCCTCCAGATCATCCAGCCCAAGTTCTACATGTCAGGATTTTTTTTTTTTAAATTGTTTTGTTTGAGACAGAGACTTGCTATGCAATGCAAGCTGTCCTGGAACTACTACATAGATCAATCTTCAAATTCATGGTCCTCCTGCCTCAGTCTTCTAGGAGCTAGAGCTTCTAAGAGCTAGAGCCATGTTACCATGGGCCAATTAGGCTTCAGTTTTAACCACCTCAATTCCTATTCCTATCCTTACATGAGACGAACAGTGTAGAATTCTTGTTTGGTAAGACTATGTGGGGGTTTTGCCCTTTATTTAATGTTTCTCTATTTTATGAAATAAACTGAATTCCAATTTAGATATTCCTGTTAATTTAAATTTTTTTTTCTGAATCATACGAAGAGAAGAACACTTACCTCATTTCCTGACCATCTCTTATCTCCACTATCCACGCTATTGAAGCCTGAATCAAGGGCTCCATAAGGACGACCTGAGTACAGTTCTTCATGGCTGTCCAGAAGAAGTGTTACTTTTTACTATGAGACTGGATCATTTAAAATTAACATTTGAAATTAATTGAAATTAATTAATCACAACTTCATTAACAAACATTCTCATGACACTCAGTCACATAAATATTAGAGCTAAGTGAGAATAGTATGAGCCTCCACACTTAGAATTCACTTTCAAAAGTACCACTGCTCAATTCAGTTTCATTGTGCTCATTTTTAATGTTAGCTTACAACACAGTGGATTTCCTCTCATAGCCTCTCCATAGTCAAGTGCCACCACACTGTCAACATCTGTTCACACCCTCTCCTGTCTCCCTCCCAAGTGTTTTCTTCCTCCCGTCAATCCCTCTTTCTGCTTTATCATCACAACTGTTCTACTGCCCTGTTTTCAAGTCCCATATGTTATCTTCCTCTACTCCCAGGATTCCCTTGCTAGCTTTCACGAAAGCAAGCATGCATGCATGCATGCATGGGTGCTCGTGCACACACAAGCGCATACGCAAATGCAAATGCAAACAGAAACCAAACACACACACACACACACACACACACACACACACACACACACACACACACACACACACACACACTCACTCACTCAAATACCTGTACACCCAAATGCAGGTACTACACAAATGAAAACATTCTCCTTATCTGGTTTTGGTACTAGGGTTACCCTGGCTTCACGGATGAATTTGGCAGTGTTTGTACTTGTTGAGTGGGACAGCTGGAGGGCAGTGATCCTAGCTGTTTTTCAAAGGTTTGGTAAAATTCAGCAGTGAATCCATCTGGTCCTGGACCTTCCTTTGTTGGAGACTTAATTATAACTTGAGTCTTCACTGATTGCTACTGCCCTAAGTTGTTTATACCATGGTAATTTAGTTTTGGTAGGTCATACCTTCCAAGGAACTCACCCACTTAAGAGCTTATCCCCCCCCCTTTTTCTTGTACTCTGTGGTAACCACTCCTTCTTCCTTTCTAATTTCTGTGTATTCCCTCTCTTTCTCTTAGCTAATTTGGCCAGGGGTTTGCCAATCTTGAACAACTGTCTACATGTTGTTCTTTCAGTATGCAATTCATGAACTTCTGTCTCAATCTTGACTATGTCTTCCTGCTCTATGCTTTGGGGCTTGGATTGTTACCATTTTTCTAAAACCTTGGGGTGTATCATTAGGGTATCTGAATCTAACTTTTAAATGTGAGCACTCCTAGCTATAAACATTCCTCTTACAATTGCCTTAGCTTGTGCTTCATTTAATTTGATTCTAGGATTTTAGCCCCCCCCCCTTCTTCAGTGATTATACTGTCTGTCTCCATGCATTTATACGATTCCTGCAAATTTCCAGAACTGTTTTCCTTTTTGCTACTGATTTCTAGTTTTACTGTATTATAACCCGATAAGATAAATTATTTAGACCTTCACAGTTGCTAAGATTGACTTGTAGCCCTGGCTGTCCTAAAACTTACTATGTAGACCAGGATAGCCCAGAGATCCACCTGCTGCGGCCTCCTGAGTGCTGGGATTAAAGGCATGCACCACCACACCTGGCTTGGTTTTTACCTATTTGTCCAAATAAAATTTAAATACATTTAGATATTAGCAGTATAATGTTGACAAATGCTGTATCTTTGTAATTCTATCAGTACAGAGGACTTTTCTATTTTGCCAGTAAATTTCCCCACACCTTTCTGTAGCTAATTTTTATCACCTTGTTATTATCAGGGACAAACACTGCTCTGAGGGTTTTATTTTTTAAGTCTTACATTAGTGTGGAAATTGATAACAGGTCCTAAGAATACATATTAACATCAAAGAATCTCAGGGCTCTTGCTAAGCATAACCAGAGCAAGATGCCACACACCGACTCCACTCACACCAAATGCTAGAACAGGCAAAACATGGCAGAAACACAACAGTTGTCTGTTGGGTCTTAGGGTAGAAAAAAATAACCAGCTGGGTTTTGGTGGCGCACGCCTTTAATCCCAGGATTTGGGAGACAGAGGCAGGTGGATCTCTGTGAGTTCAAGGCCAGTCTGGTCTACAGAGTGAGTTCCAGGATAGGCTCCAAAGCTACACAGAGAAACCCTGTCTCAAAAAACAAAACAAAACAAAACAAAACAAAACACCAACCTAGCTTTAAGGGACAGGCAAGAAATGGAAATGCTGTGCTGCTGGCATTTGACTCTAGCTTGTTTCCCAAACTCACAGAACTCACTGAACCTGGCAGAATTACTGTCTGTCAATCATGTCTCAGCAGAACTGCTACAGCACTGGAGACACTATTCCTGCACATCTGTGAACAACATCTGAGCACCCTGGTTACTCTACATCCTCTCCAGCATTTGGTATGGTCACCTTTCTTGAACCTAGTCATTCCTGTGGCTCTATATGGATATCTTTGCCCATAAAGTTCAGTCGCCTTAACAAACTAGCCCCAAAGCTGGGTGTTGGTGGTGCACACTCAGAAGCAGAGGCAAGCATATCTCTGTAAGTTCAAGGTCAGCCTGGTTTACAGAGCAAGCTCTAGGACAGACTCCAAAGCAGTCTGAGATAAACCCTCTATCAAAAAACAAAACAAAATGAAACAACAACAACAACAAAAAACCAAAACAAAACAAAAACCAAACCAAAAACCAAACCAAACCAAAAAAACCCCACAAACTAGCCCCAAAGTAGCTTCAAGTTAACTTCTCTATAGCAAGATGATGAAGTGGTAAAGCACAACGGGGTTTATGGTGTAGTTTCTTAGTCTGAAAAAATACAACTCATGGGTTGTACAGAGCCTTGAACAAACCATTAAATAAGTTACCACTTCAGTAAGAATGTGCTTTTTAAAAGAAGATTTATTTATGCCGGGCATTGGTGGCACACGCCTTTAATCCCAGTACTGAGGAGGCAGAGGCAGGCGGATCTCTGTGAGTTCGAGGCCAGCCTTTCTCCAGAGTGAGTGCCAGAATAGGTTCCAAAGCTACACAGAGAAACACTATCTCAAAAAACAACAACAACAACAATAAAAAAAAAAGATTTATTTATTATGTATTTTTTTAATGTATGAGTGCTCTGTCTACACGTTTACCTGCAGGCCAAAAGAGGGCACCAGACACCAGATCTCATTATGGATGGTTGTGAGCCACATGCTTGCTGGGAATTGAACTCAGGACCTCCAGAAGAACAGCCAGTGTTCTTAACCTCTGAGCCATCTCTCCAGCCCCAAGAATGTGCTCATAAAAGAGAGCATTTCTTTCTTTTTTTCTTTTTTTTTTTTTTAGTTTTTCGAGACAAGGTTTCTCTGTGTAGCTTAGGAGCCTATCCTGGCAGTCGCTCTGGAGACCAGGCTGGCCTCGAACTCACAGAGATCCGCCTGCCTCTGCCTCCCAAATGCTGGGATTAAAGGCGTGTGCCACACGGCCCGGCTGGAGAGCATTTCTTGTTAAAAGTCACTACATCTACTTCAATTGAATTTGTGCAACTAGCATTGACTGAATGTCAATAAGAATATTAAACATCACTTGCCTTTAAAAGATTAGGCTTGTTGAGCAAAATTAATTCAGTGGGTGGGGTTACAGAGGCAGGTCTTTCTTTTTTGATTTCAGAGGCTCACTCTGTAGTTCAGAGTTGACCCTGAACTCATGACCCTCCAGTGTGTGCTAGGAGGCAGAATTTTTCTTTTTTTTTTAAATAAATAATATTTACTATTAGTTTATGTGCATTGTTGTTTTTGCCTGCATATATGTCTGTTTGAAGGTGTTGAATCCTCTGGAACTGGAGTTACAGACAGGTGTGAGCTGCCACGTGGGTGCTGGGAATTGAACTCAGAACCTCTGGAAGAGCAGCCAGTTCTCTTAACCACTGAGCTATATCTCCAGCCCCAAGGATAGATTTTTTTCTTATCAGTCAGTGTCTTAGTATTTCTTTAGTTTGGGTTTGTTCTCACATTAACAAAAATAAATGTTTAGTCAATAACAAAGTGGCTTAAAATTATCTTATCAAAAAGTGGTCTTAGCCAGGTATGGTGAACAACATCTTTAATCTTAGTACTTCAGCACTTGGGAGACAGAGAGAGGCAAGAAGATCTATGAGTTTAAGGCCAGCTTGGTTCCAGGGAGTTCCAGGATAGCTGGAGCTACACAGAGAAACTGTGACCAAAAAAAAAAAAAAAAAAAAAAAAAAAACCTTAAAAAAAAAAAAAAAAAATCACGAGTCTATCCATCACCAATGAAAACCATGGTGCCACTAAATAAAGCAAAGGTAATATTAGTGCAGTTTACCAAATAGCATGGAATCATTTGTATCTGGAAACAAATACAAATTTGTAATTTTTATGTTTATTTCTGTTAGTGCTGGGTTTTGTGGTAGTATTTTTCAATTAAACATGAATTTTTATATTGACTTCACACAGTGTTTTGTTTTATAGATATTTTCATACAATTTTATCATGTACTTTGGCCATTTCCTCTATGCTTTTTACTGTTTAAAACAGGGTCTTGTTCCTTATCAGGTACAGCATCCTTCTGCCTGCCTCCAAGTGCTGGGATTATGGTAAGTACCACTACGTTAATTGTGAGTCTTTTTTTAAAAAAAAAAAAACGATACACTAGCATTAAAATGGTTAAATGTGGCTGGGCATGATGGTGCACACCTTTAATCCCAGCACTCAGGAGGCAGAGGCAGAGGCAGGTGGAACTGAGTTCAAGGCCAGCCTGGTCTACATAGTAAATCCCAGGCCAGCCAACTCTACACAGTAGGACACTATCTCAAAAACAAACAAACAAACAAACAAAAAACCCAAACAAAACAAAAAACCCAACATCAAAAGATGGCTAAATCAAAGGACTGAAAGTACTTGTATGTCTAGTTTGTATTTAATATTCAGAGTTAAGGGACTCTCTAGGAGGTTTGGACTCTATCTAAATTAATCTTTGCCTAATATTTATATAGGTTTTATGGTCATGTTAAGAACTTTCAGATTCAGAATATTTGATATTTCCAAAGTATAAGAGTGCAAAGATAATACTGACAATGGAAGTTTGGAAAGGTTAAGCAGCTTAGACAGAAACTCAGAACCATGAGCCTCTAACTCCATGCCTATACTTTGAACAAATAAATCAGCTACCATAATGCAATTCTATTTTCTGTACCTCTGAAAGAAAAACAGGAAGGCACAGCATTTCATTCCCTGGTGCTCGAGGAGATAAATGAAATATTATATATAAAGTCTCCCTTCAGTATTCATGAGGAACTAGTTCCAGGATTCGTCACAGACCCCCAAATCTAGGGAGACTACAAGAATGTACCACCACAGCCAGCAGGGTTTTTTGTTGTTGCTATCATTGTTTGTTTGTTTGTTTTTTGAGACAGACCTGTCTAAGGTGAGTCCAAATTCCTGGGTTCAAGCCATCTTCCTGCTTAAGCCTTCTGAGGGGGTAGAACTATAGACACAAGTCACCATACCTGGTAATCCTCTGCCCATGAACTTTAAATCATCTTTAGATTATCGACAATGTCTAATGTAATATAAAGGCTACGTAAATAGTTGCTATGCTATGTTGTTTAGGGAATAATGACAAGAAAAATGTAAATGTTTACAGCACAGGCACCCCCCCCCAATACTTTCAAGCTGTACTTGGTTGAATTCATGGAAACAGAGGGCCAACTATATCCACATATATGTACCCGATTAACCGAACGTTTCTAGAACGTTCTGAAACAATAGTTCGTCTCTGAAAAAAGGGAAAATATAGAAAACAGTCTAATTAGTGACCATTACTAGAGATTATGACAGGGACTGCAATGCATTACTTCTCTAACTTCTAATTCCTTTGAAGAGAAATGACATCTTTATGTTATTTAGGTTTCTCACTTACTTAGTAACCTGAAAGAACATCTTCCTTCAATTCTAGCCTTTTATCTGTTAGCAAGCATGCACTCAAGTCCTTTGCCAGTAACCTAATAATTTATGTATTTCATTATATATTTAAAATAATATAAGTACTATAATATTTACAAGAATAAATTAAGGCAGCCTCAGAACTAAGGAACAGGTCCCAGAGAAACAGGTTCTGCAAATATACACCAGCCTTCAATCAAAGCGCACCATCCATTACCATCTCTTTAGGCGGAACGTCAAACACACACCTGCATCCACCATCATTAGCCTGCTTCCATTCAAGCCTAAATGGCAGCAGTGGCAATTTCATGCTCCTACTCTGCTATTTCAAGACAGGGAAGTCTTCCTTCCAAGAATCACCAACTCCACCAGGGAAAATCAATTATGTATACTCAAAGGAAAGCCAACTTTGAATTGTTGTACAGCTTGTAAGAGTATCATATAAAACATTTTTAATGAAAACAAAATAGGAAAATCAAGGCTTTCATCCACACATAACAAGTGTTTCCATATTATAAACAATTAATTGAGCTAGGAAAAAAAGCAAGAAGAAAGAGAAAATAAATGGTAAAATGAAAACTCTTGGCAATAAGGATCTGAGTCATTTCATAGTCTTCAATGTCAAAACCCTCGTCCTCCAAGAGGCCTACATGTAGCACACTACACCACACTAAGTCTCTACCAACTGTCCACAGTTCACCAGTCTTGTCCTTAGCATCCTTTACCTGCTTCCGTCCTCTGAGAGGTGAATATGGAACCAAAGGTATTCTTGGTAGGTATGGTCACAGTATGACTTTCATTTTCTTTGCTGTATTAGTTTATGCTTAAGCAACTAGGTTAGAGCTGCTACTCAAATATCCTTTACAGTGTCTAAGTTCTCAATCTAATAGCCAGACTAAGCACCCTAGAATGTCATTACAAAGATCTTCCTGATAATTTTAGATGAAGGAAAGCAGTATTTGTCTGATTAAATCAGCTTTTCTTTCATTTACTATTTCCTGAATAATTACTATGTATACTGAATGCTCTCTGAGTGAGTAATACCATAAGCCTGGCAGATTCTTGCAGTAAAGGGCAGGAGTGAAATCCCTGTGGAGTGAATAACACACTATTTCCCCAAAAATCCTGTTGTATGTAAGGAAAGTTTTCAGACAGCTTCAGATTACTCCTTTGTAAAACAATTTATGTTTCATTTTAATAATTTCCAATAAAAACTATAATAAACTGCCTTTTCTGAACATGATACATATTCAATACACCATAGCAATGCCTGGCTACATCCGTTTTTAGAAACTACATGGACATTTGTTGATCTATTTTAGGCTAGAAAATTACAAAGCAAGCTCATCTGGACTGTGCATTTAGCCAAAATTGACAGGTCCTGAACAAAGGCCTGAGAGGTTCTCTGTTGAGCATCGCAGCATCTTTATTGGGACATCTATTGCACCTTTTTGAAGGCTTTTAAATTTATTTCCTACACTTAAGATTGTTCCACATCTTACAAGGCATGTGGTATGTAGTTAAGGGATTCACAGACTAAAAATATCTCAAAGTGATGTCAACATTCAACAGCTTCTTCACACTTATAAAGAAAAATGAAGCAAAATGTTCAAATGACTTGTTGTAAATCAAAAAACTTTTAAGTGGCAGAGCGAAGGTTATTATTCAAGAGACTCAAACCAGTGGATTTCAACTGGGGGCTTGCCAGGGGTACTGGCAGTATCTGGCTATCTGGAAACATTTCAATTGTTACTGGCACCTAGGAGATGGGGACAGGATGCTGCTAACCATCCACACAATGGGAAGAGCCTCCCCTGACAAAGAACTGTCTGGATTTACAAGGTCAACAGTGCCCAAGTTGTAAGAGACTGACTTAGAACTCCGCTTTGTAGGATCTATGCAGCCAATTCCTATTTGATACAAGCATTCTGAGGAGAAGAGTGGTACTTTCCTTCAGGCAAACACCAGGCAATTAAAGGCTAAAGTGTATTTGATTTTCTCTGTGATGTGCTATGACAGAAGAATAAAACATACTTACCACGAACCAAATCCCAATGGTCTCCTTTCATAATCCGGCAGATCTGGAGCAATCTTACAAGCCTGTATGTTCAGGTATTTAAATATGTGGATTTTGCCTTTTATACATATCTAAATAAAATAAACATAGCCAAATTACTATTCATCTGAAATATAGATGTCTTTAAAAAAGCTAGTATTATTTTATGTGTATGGGTGTTTTGCCTGCATGCATGTTTATGTACCATGTGCATGCTTGGTGCCCACAGAGGCCAGAAGAGAATATTAGATCCCCTTGAACTAGATTTACAAACAGTTGTGAACAGCCATGTTGATACTTGCTAGTGGTCCTAGATCCCTGGGGGAAAAAAAAATCTGTGTTCTTAACTGCTGCATCACCTCTCCAGACCCATGGCGTTCTTTTTTTATAAATCATAACTAGCTCTTTGAATAACATAAATTGGGTTTTTAAGGTATCTCTATTAAATATATAGTGCATTAATTAAAAAAAAAACTATGATCTGATTCAGTGTTTACTTAAGGGTTTCGTCATTTATCAGGAACAGAAGTAATCTATGATTATAAATACTGTTCCAGAAATAGAAGTAATTTATTATTACAAATACTGTTACACACCAAGTAAATTTAACATACTCATTTGTTACACACGTTCAGGACTTGTAAGATTTCTCTCTGAGTATTTAACCATGTACAATTACATTTTTAACGCTCATCTCTGTAGGAAAGAACTGGAAATTATAAAATGGAGAAATTTATACACATATAATTTTGTTGTGACCTCTCATGAGTCAATTCTTTAGGCTGATGAAACTCTATAATTTGAGTCTATAAATGTTCCCAAAAGCTCATATGTCAAAATCTTAGTTGTTAGCTGATGAGCTTTTAAGAGGTGAATGGATTAAGAGGGCTATAATGTGTTCAATGAATTAATGTATGACAGCTTACAGGAAGACAGGGTGGGCGGGGAGTATGCTTTTAAAGCCTGTGTCTAGTCCCTGAAGCCTTCCTCTTTGTTCCTGTTTTCTGGCTATTGTGAGGCAAGCAGCTTCCTAACACACACTCCTGTTGCTATGACTATGTCTCACCACAGGCAAAAGCCAGCTGACCAGGGGCTAAAACCTCTGAAACCAGGAGTCTTCCTTCTTGTAACTTATTTTCTCTCAAGTACTTTGTCACAGTTTAAAAACCAATTAGCGCAAACCTTTTTGTAGTTATAAAGTTCAAATATAATTTTTACAGATTCTATAATGACTTATACAAAATTATTAAAAAACTGCAAAGTGAGGGCTGGAGAGACACAGCTTGCAGGTAGAGGTAGCCACTGCCTATGCTACTGATAATGAGTTTGATCCCTGGAGCTCACATGAAGAAGGTAGAGAGAGAACCAACTTCAAGAAATTGTCCTCTGAATTCTACATGTCAGAGCACCAATAGAAAAAAGAAATTTCTAAGAAATCTCAAAGTGAAAATTATGGGCTTGGCAAATATTTCAAACATTATAGGATATAAGCCACCCTACAGTTATTATTTTCATTTCAGTCAGTGACAAACAAATGAACCAACTGGCTAAATGAGAAACTTACTGTTTCAGGAAACAGGAAGGCACAAAAATAATGATAACAAGAATACAGTGATAATTTTTAGTTTGGAAAGTTGCTGTTTATGGTATTTATATATTCCAACTAAAGCTTTAATAGAAAAGATTACAAAAGAAACTAAAATTTTACTAGAAAATTAGTTTTTGAGGCATTCTTCAACTTAAAAGTGCCCAAGAGCTGGGGAAAAGCTCAGTTAGGAATATGCATACCCCTGTGCAAGCATGAGGACCTGAGTTTGGACCTTCAGTACCCACATAGAAGCTGGGCACAGCAGTGTGTATCATACATCGGGGAGGTGGAGATGGAAGGATCTCTGGGGCTTGTTGGCTGCCCAAGCTAGCTAATTTGTGAGCTCCAAGTTCAGTGAGAGATTTTGTCTCCAAAACTAACAAACAAGGAGAACGACTGAGGAGACATTGGCTGTCAACCTCAGGTGCACACATGAACAAGCATACACAGAAGTGTCAAACCAGTGAAAGGGAATGCTGGTGGAAACATCAAACCTTTCTTCCACCTGTTACCAAGGGCACTGGGTTGATGACACACAGGGAAATAGTTTCTCTTAAGAGAACTTTCCCAGAGCAGTCATCCCTTTCAGCAGAATACCCATTTTTACCTGTGCAGGAGGTGACTGCAGTGGGTTGTTTTCCAGGGTGATCACCTGGAGGTGCCTGAGGTTGCGGTAACACACGGGGATGGCTGTGATTTTATTGCATGAGAAGTCTAGTCGTATCAAAGGCACCTCTGCCAGCTCTGCAAGGAGGTAAAATGCAACCATACATATTAAGCATACAGTTTTCACAAGTGCTTCCAGTTAAATGTGGTGGATTCAAAGATCATTTACCTCTATTCCTAGTGACTGACAAGGTATAAAAGAAAATCTGATTGCTTAAAGATAGGAAAACTACCAAAAATCAAGCAGTTTGACTCCCCTCCCTGGACTACTTAGTTGTCAGAAGCTGCACACCATTCAAAAAATAAATAAATAAAAATAAAAAAAAAGAAAAGAAAAAGAAGGAGGACAACAAAGAAGTTAGATAGAGATCTTTATACACAGTCCCAAGTCACTTAGCTGGGCACTCACAGTCACACCACAGGAGGCAGAAAGTTATTCTCTAATGAAATGGTACCAAAAGGCTCTGAACTTAGGGAGTGAGGCTCAATGGGAAGTGAGTATATGTTGACAATTGAAAATAGAGGATGTAAAAGTAAACACACTAATGGCAATTCCACCTTTCCATCTACCCTGTCTGAGCCCCACTCCTGAATGCCAGTAATTACATACATGCAGTTTTAAAAACTCAGCAGTTGAGAGCACTGGCTGTTCTTCCAGAGGACCTGGGTTCAATTCCCAGCACCCACATGGCAGCTCACAACTGTCTAAACTCTAGTTCTAGAGGATCTGACATCTTCACACAGACATACATGCAAGCAAAACACCAATGCACATAAAATAGAAATAAATAAATCTAAAAAAGAGTTTAAAAAAATTCAAGAATGTTTTGAATTACTTTACTCTAGGGTAGCACAAAATAGTGAAGAAAGGGATGATAAGAAAAATCAAAGGAGCAAAGATTAAGATATAACATTCAATTGGAAAAACGGAACAGAAAAAAATTATTAAAAAAGAGAGAAAGGCCAGCAAATGACTCAGTAAGCAGGTGTAGTGGCACATGGGAAGACTGGGGAGCAGGTGGGAGTTAGAGGCAGGAGGATCCCTGTGAGTTCAATTGAGGCCAGCTTGGTTTACACAGAGCTCCAGGATAGTCAGGGTTACACAGGGAGCACGGGGAGACTTTGTCTTAAAAACAAACAAACAAACAAACAACCCCCACACAAAAGAAAACAAACAAACAAAAAACCCTGCAAAGTCAGAAGAGTTTGACCCCTGGAATCCACATGATAAAAGGAATGAACCCAATTGTCTTCTGACCATACACTTGCACTGTGGATCATGCACACACACACACCCAAATAAATAAATATAAGAAAACAGGGGGAAAGGTCAAACAAGCAATGTCTCAAGACAACAGTCTGCAGAGAGTGTCCTTAAGTGAATGGCATACAGAGCTAGCCCATACCATATATCCTCACAGAAGGTCAATGACCAAGAAAAAAGGGAAGAGCTTAAGTCTTCCAGGCTGAAGAGTCTGTTCACAGAGGAGTGGGATTAGAGATGGCATCATGCTTTCAGCTACCAGGCTTTAACACCCTTCAGCTAGGTGCAGCACCCTACCCACAGCACTCGGGAGGCTAAGGCAGGACGACTGGCAGCAGAAGTACCAGCCTGAGCTATAAAGGTGTGAGTTCCAGGCTAGCCACAACTACATACCAAGACCAAGTTTCAAAAACAAACAAACAAAGGCTCCTCTCTCCAAATCACCATTTAAAAGTCAAGAAATGCTAGATGAAATAGCCAACAAAACTAATGAATATTCTCCTGACCACTGCAACCTGAATTTGGGGGAAGGTGAGAAAAGGGTGTGGAAAAGGTGAGTATTAATACTAATTACGTTAAGCTTTTAAATATCTTTTGAATGATAGTTAAAACTAATTTTAAAATGAAAATGGCAATGTAACAAAAGATATATTACCAACCAAAATACAATGTCAAAGATTACTAGTTAATGTTCAAATAAACGTCCTGTCATCTCAGGCTAGTTAACATGCTGATTACAAACCAATGCAATTAAACATTTACAACTGTGTAATTTACATTTCCAACAATTTATAAAAGGGATAAATTAGATAATAAAATCATTTCACTGTACTTCTCATCTGAAAATCCCAATTTTCATCAAAACCTCAATGTTGCCAGATATGGTGGCACTAACCTGTCATCCCAGCGCTCATAAGGCTGAGACAGAAGGATTGTGAAACCGAGGCTAGCCTAGGGCTACACTATGAAAGTCTACTTCAGGGAAAAAACCCAACACACATATAAAACCCCAAACTTCAGTATTTTCATCAGTAATCTTACTCCATGAACAACCCTAGAAGATGGTGAGTAGGCCCAGAATAAAGAGATGGCCCTAGAAAGAATTCTGGATCTGGCATTGTAAGGTGGTGGTATCCCAGCTACTTACGAGTCAAGACAGGGAACAGAAAATTTCAGGGCAGCCAAGGCAAGTTGGACTGTTTCAAAATGAAAATAAAAAAAGAAAAAAGAAAAAAGAAAAAGTAGTAGCATAGCTTAATAATAGCAGCTTGATTTAATTCTCAGAGGGGAGAGGAAAGACGAGAAAGAGGGAGAGAGAGAGAGAGAGAGAGAGAGAGGGAGAG